TTTCATATATTTTCAATTGTTTTTTTTTTCCAGTTTGAAAGAAAATCCCATTTGCATAATTGTGTCACTGGAAGCCAGTAAAGAATTTGTCTTTGTAATCATGTGTGTGTTTTCTGTGCTGTAGGGAATGCAGCTGATTTTAACTGATCATATTTATTTTCTATCACTGTAAATTGTCATTCTAATTCCTTACCAATACAACCATGTGGTAACATAAACACATCCATGTAAGCTTAACAGTTATAAAATACACATATTCAACAATGTTTAAGATAACAGACAAGAACATACAGCTGGTGACTCAAAGTGACAAAAATATACCTCGAGTCATCAGTGGGCATTTCATTAACGCCTGGGTGACTGTATTGATAATCCATTCATAAACTGGAACTGGAAAACATTAGGGGTCTGCCGCTGAGTTCTGAGAATAACAGAGGTGGACTGACTCAGCAATTGCATGAGAAAAGATTCTCATCAGCAAAATTCAAACTGGGATACTGTTTCACTGCCGATGTTAACTGGAAAGCATTTCTTACCTTGTAGGAGTTCTGAAGGATGTGGGTGTTGCTATTAAAAAAAAAAAAAAGGCTTTTGATCCAGGTTGGGAAGCACTCCATTTCTAATGTGATTAAGTAAAGTGTATGTGGCTTAATTACAGAGCCTATGCCAAAGTCACAAGAGAGCCAACCATGCTTACTGTGTATACGTTCATGAAGAGAGCTATGGCTGGACATAGGGGTAGTTGATCCAGGGGTCTAGCAAAACCAGAAAGAGCCAAATGTTGTCTTGGTTTTATGCAACAAAAGTTAAATCCTGAATAACATTGTTTTAAATATATAATGTAATATATACAGATGGTTACTAGCCCTCTTAAAAATCTTTAAATATTGTACGTGTTACATTGTTGCCACTGGAAATAGTTGTTTAACACCCCATCCCACCCCCCAAAATTCTTAACCTTAGGCACACTTACTAGTGTTTTCCTTAAACTCAACCTCATTTTATTGTCTTCAGCAGTGGATGGAGTTTGCTCTGTTGTCATGGGAACAGCATCTAATGAATATTCATTGTTATCATGAACATAGCATCTTCATAACAGTGGAGCAAACTTCATCCACCGAGGAAGACTGTGAATATGGTTGAAAGCTCTGGCAAAAGCTACTAAGTAGACTTAGATTTTTGTAATTTATAACTGAAATTATGTCAAGAAGGGAGTCACCCCCTCCACCCAAAAAAATAAGGGACCTAAAAGTAATTTCATTTCTTTTATCTCAAACTGTAATATCAATTCAGGTAAAAAACACAAACAAACAAACAAACAACAAAAACATGATGCCTAACTTACCGTGAGGGAGGAGAGACTGGGACCTCTGTCTCTGGCCCACCCTTGGGACTCTGCTGTGCCTATATGACTGAGTGCCAGACAACACATTAATGTTTAAGATGTTAAAGAATTCATTTGGTCCTGTTTAGACTTGGTTTTGAAATGTGTCTGGGAAGATTAGATCACAAGTGGGCAGCCAAGACACGTCACTGTTTACACCTGGCAATATACTGTACATACGTCTCCAAATGTCCAGCTGAACACTTGTGTGCTGCGACACTCTTAAATATCAAATGGCCACAGGTACAGTTATTACTTCAGTCTGTAAACAGACAAGTGCAAGTAGTCACCCTAACTGAAGACAAGCGTCATATTTGCACATGGATTTGCACGTTTCTCTCCACTTGTTCTTTTGTTGAGCGCTGGCACACTCTCACCAAAGCAACTGACACATCCTGCAGCGATGACCTATTTTCCTGTAATGGTCTTCTCGGAGACGCATCAGGACCCATTAGCGTTAACACTACAAATGATATGTGGTCAAATGCAAGTGGTTTCAGTGATCAGATCACAGCCCATCTTGGTGGTTGTTTACACTTGTATTTAACGCTGTCCACTTGTGATCCAATGGCCCAGGACGCATTAAGACACATTTTAATTCCAAGTGTAAACAGGGTCTTTGTTAATCATAGAATTGCTGGTGTGACAAATAAAGAACAGGATTCATACCTGACAGTTCTTGAACTAGCAGTAACTGGAAAAGACAACATGTAAACATCATCTTGAATCAAAAAATATGAAATTGACCACAAACACTAAAAACACACCTGCAACAGTTTGACCTAAATCTGGTTTTACCTGGGGAAGTGATAGCCACGGGTAGCGACATCCTATGACAGCTATAAATATATATATACATAAGAGAAACAAAATGCTCAATCATTTTTAAAAACTGAAAGGCATGTTATCAAACACCATAGTCATGAAGTGTAAGTTGGCCTTTACCCATTTGTCTGAAACTGTCCTGGTGAAACCTGGACAGCAGAAAGTATGCTGGTTAAATTAGACATCTACTGTATCACCTCAACATTGGCATTTTAAGAAACATGAACTTTATTTCAACAGAATTCTGGACCACATACCCTCCTCTGAGAAAGTGGCTTTTTTAACTCAGTGTTCTCTCTCTTCAGCTCTGAAAGTTGCTTTTTTAACTCAGCATTCTCTCTTTTCAGCTCGGACAGTTGCCTTATGGTAACAGATGTGAGAAGGATAGTGTTGCAGTCAAGGTATTTATTTACACAGGAACAATAACAGCTTATGAAATCACCTGTAGCCCTGCTCAGTGACTTCCTTCAGATGCCTTTCCAGTTCAACAGATTTGTGCCTGAAGTGCGCAGTGACTCTCTCCATTTGTGTCCGCTGAAAAAGTGCAATCTGGGAAGCATGGAGACTTCACTATTAAATGTAATTTCAGTGAAAATAAATGACTTGCAATAAATCAACTTTGATTTGCACTCAGAGATTCCCAAATATCATGGCACCAGTAAAGTGATGCTTTTATTCTTTTGACCTCTTGTTGAATGACCCGCTGACTTATTAATCGACTGCTCTGATATTTATCGTCCTGGTATAATGATTAAAAAGGACAGGTGAGGGAGCTTGGGTGCACGCTGCACAGAGGAGACAAACCTGTGATATGTGCTCCATCTGTGACTGGATGAGCTTCACAGGATCTTTGAAAAAAACCTTTTCCTGTGGCTTCATCTAAAATAGAAATTTGTGTGGATAATATATTGGGTCATCATCTGTTGGTGGCATCTGACAGTAACCTACAGTGAATATGTCAACCATACCAACCTTATCAGTGATGGGCAGATAACTGCAGCTGGCCCCACATATGCTGCACTGCTCTGAGGGAAGAGACAATCATAAGAGGTGTAGTGTATGTAGCCTGACCCCTGTCTTATTTGAGCAATGATGTAAAATAATTATTGTTAAAAAAAAATGGAGAAACCTATTATCTTAGCGTGTAAACAAAATAGAATATTACTGTCTTACTAGATTTAATGCATGCCTCACAGCAGATGTGGCCACAGCTGGATACAACAAACGCCGACCCAGTCTTCATGAAGCACTTGTTACAGTGGAACCAGTCCATTTTAAGTCCTGCAAACAAACACATTCATCTCACTGCACATGATTGTTATATTATTACACTACAGTATGCGAACACCCTGTTTAAATTAACTCTGTGTACTTCTGGTCCGGGGCTTTAGCATACTGTGATATTTTAGAACAGTGTGGTCCTAGCATGGACCCTGAAACAGCTCAGCTAAATGGAATGCAGTTATCATTTACACCGTGCTTTTCCTGCTATGACTAATCAAAATGCGTGTCGGGAATATGGTCTATTATTTAGCATTGGAATGAGGTGTTCAGCTGTCACAAATGGATATGTTTGGGTGTCTGCACACTTCTGGCCATGTAGTTCCAGCTTTTTCGGCCGCCGGTGACACATACACAAAGTTACCCGCCTAAATTAATCATGTTAGTGTTAGATAATTCTACAGTGACACTACAGGACACACCTAAAACAACGCCGCAAACAACACAATAGCTAGCCAACTACAGTAGGGTTTGCTAGCTGGCAAGCATATGTGTACAATTTGGATAGTAACCAGCGGGAGGTAAGAAACGGACTTAAACCTGTCCTAAACCACGTTAGCTAAAAAAAAAAATCTAATTTTTGTAATATTACCTGTCACCCTGCTCAGAAGAGTCTGAAGTTAACCTATTTCCCATCAGTTTAGTCCCACCTCGGCGCCATTAGAAGACGTTTGTGACAAAAGGCCCAGTTCTGTCTGTTCAAGGCTAAGTGCTGGTCAAATAATGAGCCACTGTGGGCTTTTATCAGTGACGTATTATTTTATACATCACATCACTTAAGGGCCTTCTTAACCATCGAGTAAATTTTAGCTTTGGAAATGTTTGAGCCACTAATTTCATCTTATGCTTGAAAATATTGAACTGGAAAATGTGTCCATATTTTTCCATTTCAAAATATGGATTTAAAAAAAAAAAAAGCTCGAGTTTAAATTTATTCTTTGAATGTTTGCCAGAACAGAAACACCACCCAGGACACAAGTTGCACCATATGTCAAGACTTGCACTGACTTCACTTTCAAGGCCTAGTCATATTTTGGTTTAATCATTAACCATTGGCTTTGTAATTAACTACTGATAGCCATAGACTGCATGGATGGGGTAATGGACAGGGGGCACTTCAGAGTTTGAGAGCCTACAGTATACAATGTAGGCAATGCAACAGCTTAAATTTCTCAATCATGCAAAGTTAATCCAGTCACTCAACACTGGAAAGCATCCAAGGTACGATCAGCACATTTAACCATGGAGTAACCATAAGTTGCTGACAAATCTTGTAAGTTTGTCACATTTGGAGACTTCTCAAATTATACCAAACACTGTAGTTGCAAGAACAGTTCCATCGTAAACCATAATCTCAGGAAAGATGTCCTCCATAGCAGTAAGGTCTTGTTTAGAAAAAGTCACTCGGCAGATGCAAATCCAACTCATGAAATGCTAGATAGCAGAGCCAATGTAGGGTTAAGGGACAGCATATTATGGTCACATTTTTCCATTAGCACTTGACACCATTAGTCATGTTCACATTTATATTTAAAAGTAGCCTCTTATCAAGTTGTCACATGGTTGACTAATTTGTCAGTTTAGTGAAACTCACCCACTTAGAACTAACCCCACCATTAATTAATAACTTGAGCATGTTCAGGTTAAGGGTTTGAATTGAACTTTAATGGCCACAGATGTGAAAGAGATAAGCAGGCACTAAAGCATTTAATAACTTGGGAAGCCAAGAATAAAGACCCAATTCAGACTGGAGCCAGTATGCAAGGTGGATCCATTTCTGTTGAAGAAAGAAAAAGGTTAAAGGCAGTTGAGGACAAATGCACAGTATAAAAATTGAAGTCATGTCTTACTTGGATCCTTCAGGAATTTACATCATTGATGACAAGTGGCCCCACGACTGTTTTTTGCACCTTTCCAAGCATCCCTGTAAAGACAAGCACTTTTAGACTAGTGCAACTAGACCAGTTTGAGTCCAAACATTGCACAGATACATACCTGGTGCTATACTCCTCATCCTCCTGGACTTGCAGCTGGTATCACAGCAGTGACATAGGTCGCTATATGCAGGATTATCCAGTAGTTCCCAGCTGAACAATCATACGATATGATAGTCAAGACAATGGTTTTAGTAAAATGTGGCATTTTTAAGATCATATAACTTAACTTCAGGTTTAATTAAAAATAGGTTTTACCCATGATTGACATAGTGGCAGGTCTTTTTAGTGGCATCAATATTAATGGGATCATAAGCCACAAGTTTGCAGTGTATAAACACCTGTTGAGTTGAGAGAAGTAGGGTTGAAGACTTCAGGTAGTTAAAATCAAGTTTCCCCTTCTTGAACATCCACAATTACAGAAGACTCGTTTACCTTTTCTCCAAGAGCAAACTTAAAGGCTTGAAGGGATAAACGGATCTCTGATGTCTTTTGCCTTGGTTCAAATTTTGAGCGCGATAGCTTGCTGTCCACAAAACAGCTGCATGATTAAAGAACATTGTTACTTCCATGTCTGGGCAAAAAGATCAATAAGCCAGTGCTCATTTTCAGAACAAAAAGTACCCCTTATTGGTGATTATCGGGTACAAATTGCTTTCAGGCTGCAGCTCTGGTGTTGTGGATGCTACACACTCCTCAATAAGCAACAGCAAGGGGTGATGGCCCTTCTCCTCCACAGTGGCTATGATGGGGATCAAAGAGCCCAGAAGGAAACTGGTAGATTTAGCAGGACCAGAGAAGTTGCCTAGAGAAGAAAGTTACAGAAGTCAGTATGGAAATGGTGCCATTTACAATGGAGGTGTGAATTTTATCTGAACACCCACCATTCATCAGTACCATACTGAATACTAGAGCTCCTTGACTGTATGTATGAAACACTGGTTCATAAAGCAGAGGGGACCAGTCTTTGGGCCTGAACAAAATAAAGCAGACAGTACAGCAGCTGCTACCATTAAAACATGCAGTGTATACAACACCATTTGCTCACTCCCATTACATAACATATGAACACCCACCTTTCATAAGTGCAAAAAACTGAATGAGTGAAAGGGTCTATGTGAGAATCAGTTGAGGACATGTAGGTCAGATCATTTGTGTACATCAGCTTATCCCCAGTAACCTGCACAAGACAAATATCATTAAACTGTAGAAAATATGGTTTACTCAACACCTAGCTATAAGTTGGCCACTCACCATTGTCCTAAAGTTACAGTCACTGAAGTACACAGTGAAGACGGCCTCTGTAGCCGTAACGCTGGTAGGCAAACAGTTACCAAGACGGAAGAGTGAGGTATCAGCCTGGGATCTGCTCTCTGCCCATGTCAACCTCACAGAGTCAGGCCAACATTCCAGCTGCATGTCTGTATAGGATACAACATGGGAATACTGTTTCTATTCAAACACTTAATCTAGATTTATAAGAAAACACACATTTTAATGCAACATTACCTGCATAAACTGCCACAACAGCTGCCAAAATCAGAAGCAGTGCACCCTGCCAAGAGAAAGCCATCATGGCTGAACACATGCAACTCACACTGTGAGTGGCTTTATTCTTTCTGACTAGGACCCATTAATCAAATTAACCATCTTCACCTGGTGTGTGACAACAGTCTCAGGTGCAGGGCTCATAAGTCTAAATGCAACAAGACTCAGATGAATTCTGATATGGTGTTTCTTGATTAACTGCAGGTTAATGTGCAGGTGTAAATTTGAGGGTTAACATTTTCACTTTTTACATATACATTAATTGAAAGGTCTGTGATAGACTGTACACTTAGTGTATGCATGTTATAGTGTGACAGCTAGTGCAGATATATATGAGTGAATTAGATTAGTGTGCACTTGCAGTTTAATCTGTCATTTGTTTTAAGTGCATTATGGTAATTTATTTCGACAAGTTCAACATGTTTCACTAAACAGTAATATCATTCAGGTCAATTTCAATTTAATTCTTTAATTGTGGATTTGCTTTTACTTTTACATAGTTGCAAATCTGATAGACTTTACTGCACTATCAGAATTCAGCCTTGTATCATAATTGAGTTGGTGCTTGAGGCAAAAATGACTTCTACTTCAACACTAGATTCTTGATTTTGTGGGCTAAGACCAGGAAGACCAGATGATTTAGCCTCAGGAGAAACATCACTCTACAGGGCTCTAAGAATTTATGACAGCATGACCAGACCCCCCCTCATTCAAGTCAAAAATCAACTTGTATACTGAGCTTCCATATGAATACTGTCCCATTCTTCAAAGATTTTTATTGTCAATTCACTATATGTTCAGGACATACAGAAAAACTGAAATACTGTTTCTCTCTCACCTAATGTTGAATGCCCATACCATTTAAGAAACTAAAATAGAGTAAAAGAACACAACATATGAAAACTGAATAAGGATAAACTAGATGGTACAACCTAATAGGCAATGATGAAACTCAAAGCCATGTGCAAACAGTGACAGTAGTGCAAATAAGACTGTCAGGTGATCAGCATCACCAGGGGCGTTGGTGATGGGATGAATAGTTTATGAAATGTACATGGACAGTAGTGCAAATGACCAACAGCAGTGGATATGACGGTAAAAAGTCAGCAGCAGATTTACATGTAATATAACAAAAAGGGAGAATGTATTGAGTTTGTGCAACAGCCCCACATATGCTGCACTGCTTATGTAGTCTTATGTTCTGTGGTGGGTTCAGCATCCTCAGTCTGGTGGATGAAGCTGTTTGGTGGAGTGGGCCTGAAGACTCCGATACCTTCTCCCTGAAGGCAGGAGTGTGAAGTGTCATCAGCAATGCTGATGGCTCTGGGTGAGATGGGTGTTGAAGATGTCCGTAAAGGAAGGCACCAATGATCTTACTGGCTGTTTTCACTGTGTTGCAGCAGGCAGTACAGGCTCCGTACCACATAGTGATGACACTCAGTAGTGCACTGGTAGGAGAACATGATTTTTTTTTTTGGGGGGTGGGGGTAGGTAGGTAATGTGTTGTTGGTCCAGGAGAGGTCCTCAGAGATGTGCAGCACCAGAAACTTGGTGCTGCTCATGTTCTCCACTACAGCACCATCGATGGGCAGTGGTGGATGCTCCTGAGCCCTCAGGAGTCTGAGCGTCACCTGTCATCCATGGCTTTCGGTTGGCACCACCACTGATATTTTTGCAGTAAGTGACAATGCACTTTGATATATGCTGTGACAGCCTCAGTGTATTCCTCTATGATTGGCTGCTTGTTTGAAAATGGCCCAGTCTGTAGTGTCAAAACAGTCCTTCACAGCATAAGAAGCCCTCTTTAGCCACACACACACCCTTTGGTGTTGGTCTGATGACTCTGGGTTATTCTTTGGTACATTTGTTCATTATCAACTGTTGCTAAAAACTGCCAAGTCAGTTGCAATAGTGCAAGTACTGTGATAAACTGGGACATTGAGTGCTCTATTAGCACAATTTGAGAACACAGCCTACATTAATGAAAATAAGTCAAAACAGTGACAAAGCTGAAAATATGACACTTTTAATAGTACTACATTTACAAGGTTTTTTTTTTTTTTTTTAAATCAGTTACAGGTTCCAATAACCATGCAAACAATACAAGACTGAAGTCCCAGTGTCTCATAGGTCAGGTTGAGGTCATCTGTTACTGGCCCCTCTGTGGTGCAGGATCATCACCTCAGACTGGGCTTTTCTGTTGACAGGAAGAATAAACACTCTTGATTTTCCATTTCAGGACAAAGACCTAAAGCTTTCACAATTACATCAAAGGCAGCTGCAGTAGCACCTCAAATTGTGATCCTTTGAGTCAGACAGGTCCCACAATGACCAGAGGTCCCAACACAGAATTATAACTCAGGCTGTGGGATTCTATAACAAGGAAACAAATTACAGCTCAGAAATTTGCACATTTCAAGCACCACCCAGATTAACAGAAAGATACCCCAGTCAGCTTCTCTTCTGGAACGGGACTTGCAGGTTGAGTCACAGCAGCTACAGAGGGAGCTCTGAAATGGGTCATCAAGTAGGCTCCAGCTGAGAAAGGACAATTAGTGTTTCATATTGAGGACCCAGCAAGAAAGTGCTTTCTTAATTAGTCCTTTAAGCCACAATTACCTGCTAGTTTCCTTTACATAATGGCAGACTTTCTTGCTTTCATCAAGAGCATCAGGATTCCATGCAACCAGTTTACAGTGGATGTACACCTGAGAGTACAAGCAGTCAGTGATTTAAACATAATATTCCTGATGTCAGTAACATTTACTCACCTCCCCCAGAGGAAAGTTGAAGGCCTGCAGGTAGAGGATGAGAGAAGAAGAGTGGTACCGAGGAAGGAACACAGAGTTGCTATTCTTGCTTTCCAGGAGACATCTGAAAGGTAACCTCAGATTAGCACTGAATTTTCCAGCATCATTGAAGTTTTAACCAGTGTCAGAGTCCTACCCCTTATTGCCAATGATGGGGTACACCTGGCTGTCAGGCTGCAGTTGTGGTGTACTGGCTACCACACATTTCTCCATGAGCAGTAGCAAAGGTTGGTGGTATATCTGCTCCACTACTGCCCATATCGGCATGAAAGAGCCCAGGGAGACAACATTTGTCTCAGCAACACCCGTTAACTGCTCTGTAGGGGGAGTAGAAGTTTAGAGCAGGTCTTTAAACATGTCTGTTGTATTTGGTAGTGGGAGAACTCACCATTAAGGAGCATCATGTGGAAGACAAGACCACCCTGGCTTTCAGACATACCCATTGCAGGGTTTAGTAGTGGGGAACCCCCCTGCTCATGTCTGAAACAAAATGATTGCTTACACACTTCTGCTTTAAAACTGAAATTCCTTTCAAAACACTTCTTACCTTTCATGAACACACTTGATGGGATACACAAAGGCTGGAGGCTTTGGCCTTGCATCTGGTCTGTAGGTCAGGTAACTTTTATGAGCAATATATTTTCTTTTAACCTGTAGAAAACGAAACCCTTTCATTAAGATGCCTATGTGGGTGAGAAGCATCAATGAACTATCACACATACCAGTTTCTTAAACTTGCAGTCAGCAAACCGATAGCTGAACTGTGCTTCCCCCTCACCACTAGGCAGTTGATTCAGATAAGACGGCATGCAGCTTCCAAGAAAGAGACGGGACGCATATGGCACTAACTCTGCACTGATCTTCCATATGACACTTACAGAGTCATTTCCACAGACTACTTGAATATCTGCAAACAAATTCCTATGATATGAGTATATGAGACATGGATAAAGTTGTAGACATCCCAATGCACAGCAGAAGATTACCTGCATTAGCAGCAACAGTTGCAGCAAATCCAGCCCAAATGACCAGACCAATGTAAAGACAAGTCTCCATGACAAAACAATGTAAAAACAAAATGGAACTGGCACACTTTATAGACGGCCTGCCTAATTAGCTAAATCCTCAACATCTGCATAAGGTGAGGTAATCCCAGAAAGCACGTGCACCACAAACACTGATTGAAATCTGGCCTCTGAGTTGACTGGCCCTGAACAGGAGAGTTGGTTCCAGAACAGCTGATCAGAGTTAGTTTAATTGAGGTGAGTCACTCAATAGCAACAGTGAAAGAGCCTGAGCTGGAGTGAAGAAAAGATCCATAGTTAACACTGCTGCATTTTATTCAGCATAGTCTGCTCATTCATAAGTTTAGCAGACTTTAGCTTAATGGATGGTAGGTTATAACAAATCTCATTACAAATAATAGTATTGTGGGGAAAGGTACCCCCCATTATTAAATATTAGAAAAGCCCATTTTATATTTGTTTTATATTCTGTCCCAAAGCTCTAGCGAATCTTCTTTGTATTTGTAATGTGGTTTTCTGTCTGCCTTTGTCAGATCATAAAGATCAAGTCACCTCTAAAATTTTAGGTTTTACAGAAGTCGGTAACAGAAACCAGTAATATTAAGTTTTAAAAATGGTGGATGTTTGGGCACATATGCAACACAGTAGCTTTGCTGATATTTGGTGGCCACAAGTGGAGTATAGGTGGGCTTCTTACCCCAAGGGCTGTCTCTATCTTCCCCATCTTACCTTATATTTTGAGGCATTCATTTGGTCAGCTTTCAAATGCAGTTAAAAAAAACTTATTTCATAGGCTATTTCCATTTTAAGTATATTTGCTAAAATTAAGCAAACTTGACGTATTTGTACTTTTATGCTGTTTTATACATCTACTTTACATTCAGATGCAAATATTGTAGTATTTACTATATTTATTTGAGAACTACAGTTTCTCACTATGATCAGCTTATAAAATATGCTAGACCAGCCACAATGCTAAAATGTTCCTCACTTTAATGCATCAGTTTTATGTAATTCATTGAAATGGGTCGTCCAGTCTGTAGTTGTTTTGCAGCGATGCATTATTTTTGTAATTAATCAAAGCGGAACACTTTTATTCGTTCTGTGTGACGTCAGGAGTGTTTAGTGTGCTACACAGGAAGTCAACTCAAGCTAACCAGAGCTAGACAAGAAGGTTGTAGTTCGCCAGTTTATGAAGCGCTTTGGTCCGTACACAGCTCATAACCGTTTGAATTGTAATATATTTCTTTTTAAAAATGTTGATCAAGGTTAAGGTAAGACCATTGTTATATGCACGCCAGCTCGGCGCAGTTGTTGAAAAGCCCGCTAGTTCACTGAGCTGTTCGCTCTTTTATTTCAGGGCCTGGGTTTTTAACTTATTTCTGATTGTGTGCTGAACAGTTTTAATCACATCTTATTTTTCGCCTCGCTGTTAAGTGGAGCTGCCAGTTAGTTATTAATATGATGCTCTCTGGTACATTTAGCAGCTGTTTTTTACTTGCTAATTTATAAGCAGTCAGGAGAGGAGGTTAGCCAATTCATTGGCCAGTGTTACAACAAAATATCTGATCCTTTTGATTTTGTGATAGTAACGTTACTACTCTACTGTACTACTGGTACAGTAGGGCTAGAACAAAAACAGACACTTATAGCTTAGCGGAAGGAAGTGATGGCAAATATGCCATATTAAATTACTCTTTCTCTTCCGAGCTAGTCAGGTAACAGAAATATCCCTGATGGCACATGTGTTGCTAATAGCTATCAAAGTACAATGTGTAGCCATGTTAGAAACATTTGCAGTAAGACTAGAATTCCTAAAACTGGGCTATAGTGCAGTGCCACATGGACATACTTTATAACATTTTTTTTGTTGCTTGTTTTGTTTGTTTTTTCTGTGAATTTACCTTGTATCGATTGAAATTCTGTTGCAGACCAAGTGTCACTTCAGAAATCAGAGCCAGTGTTAATGTGATCATTGAAACATTATTTTTCAGACTCTCACTGGAAAAGAAATAGAGATCGACATTGAGCCCACAGACAAGGTGATGGCATAAAGTAACTTGTCCTCATTATAGAAACGCAAACCTAAAACACAAAGCACTATGTAGTGTCTAAATATCTTGTTTATGTGCAACAAGGTGGAGCGGATTAAAGAAAGGGTAGAGGAGAAGGAAGGGATTCCCCCACAGCAACAAAGACTCATCTACAGTGGAAAACAGATGTGAGCTCCTCCATTGTGAACTAGTAGTAGTTGCAAGATGCTCCGATTGATGCTCAGACATTGTCCTCTAAAACATCTGGTCCGGTCCTGTCCCCTTTTGCCCCCAGGAATGATGAGAAGACAGCAGCAGACTACAAGATCCAGGGAGGCTCAGTGCTCCATCTCGTGTTGGCGCTAAGAGGAGGTTCGGTGCTCCACGGTCCTTGCTGTATATTCTTCTCCTTGTCATGAGTTGCTGTTGTCATGGGGCCAGCTGAGTGCCAATGCTTTAGGTGTCTCTCACTGTCTAACCATGTTACAGCACAGAGATTAGAAATTCCATGCTCCTGGGTTGATGCAAAGAAGAAAAAAACCAACACGAAAGGCTGATCTAATTCCTGTGTAAATGTTTTTGTAAACTCACATTGGCTTTCTGAGTTTGACCAGTTAATGCAGGTGCCCATGCAGTACAAGAGACAATTTGAGAACACCGTGGTTGTTTTGCTTGTGAATAAATGCTGAAATGAAAGGTATGCGTGGTCCTAATCCATACACACACACACACACACACACACACACTGAGGTGCGTCACCACTGAGGATTCTCAAAACAGATTTTTAATTAGAAAATGACAGACCAATGACTCAAAGAATCAGTTGACCAAATGCTCCTCTTGGTCTTTTTACATTTAAATTAGGACAGTGATCTGGAACAGTCTCAAAGAAATTGCACTGAATTCCATTTAGAGCGCCACTGCTTATATCCAGTCTTCACACTTATTTTTTTTACTCTCATTTTGAAGAGATATCAGATTACTATGGTAATAAAACTCCATTTAACTGTCTTCCATGTCTCATGTTTTTGTCCTTTTACAACAAAGGGTTGTATGAGAGACTTCCAAAAAATCTGTGTACCTATATGCTTAATATCTAAAATATACATCTTGTAAATGCCAATTTTTGATTCCTGTACCATTATATATGATCTTCAGAAAATAATTTGGTAAATGACACACAAGGAGATGCCAGTCAGTAAAAGCAAGTGTAGATTATATGGGAGTAATACAAACATGTTAATAGGACTCATTTAAAACAATTTCTGGGGCCTCCAAGAGTTGAGTTTATGAGAAAACTTCAGTTCTTGAGGGGATAAAAGGCACAGGGAAAATTCTAAGGAAGTCAATACGCTGAGCTGTTCAGCTGAATTAAATGAAACAAGTGTAACAGAAGACAAGTGAATGAAACCCATAAGGTTTTGTTTTAATCTAACAGTCCAGTCCAAATCGTATCCTTATGTATCCCAAAAAACTCAAGTGCAGGAGAGTCGAGCAAAGGAAATGTGAGCTATCACTTTTAGTTTGAATATATATGGAGTGCCTTTGTGGTGATATGATTTAGTGGCTTATACTGAGCGACAGAATCCACATAAAAGTACATACATTACCATACAGTTCAAAACCATAGACTGGCAGTGTAATTATGGAGTGAAACATTTTCAGCTGTTGTAGTTTGTAAAAGGAAACTGTATGGTACTTAATGGACATACATATGTACGGACAGTTGTTAAAGCAAACTAAGTATTTTCAAACTACCTGCATAATAATCACATTTATACTTCAGTTTTAGGGGAGAGGAAACCTATGTGACTGCATACACCAGGCTGTGGTTTCATGTCAAAGAACTGTTCTTCAGCTGTAGAAAACAAAACAAAACAAAACAAAAACCAACATAATGGGGTATTTGAGAAACAGCAGGCTGGCTGTACTGTTAAGGGTGTTTACAGCAGGAAACTGCCTCTGCCATGAAGGTCATGCCAGCTGACTCATACTGTTGTCAGAGTCCAGATGGACTGACTAACCGCTGTCAGTGTCCAGCAGTGCTGACTTCTGGGAAGGAGTCAATCTGGACTGTATCCTGAAAGGCTGATCCTTGTCTGGTGTAAGATATGCGGAGCCTCATTTTCAGCTTCACCTGGAGGAGGGGAGAAGGATTTCGATGTGATGTCATGCAGCTAAAATTTAGCTGTTTCATCTAGGAAGAGTTAAAAACAGAAACAGCAAGAGGCAGACTTCCAGTCAAAAGGTTGGAGACACCTCATCAAATTGAAGAGAACTGTGTCCAAACTTTTGATTGGATGTGCTGAGTACAATAACAGGGTTGTGGGAGTTGTGTGAAAACTCTGGAGATAAAGTGTGAAGATTTATGATCTAACATTAACAGCAGAAAATGCAATCTGCAGGCCCTACTGTACTTTTCTTCCTTGCTGATGTAGTTTGTTATAAGAAGAAAAAAAAGGATCTCACACATGATTGACCAAACCTTTCCTCCTAATGGGAAATGTGCCTGCATACACACAGTGTGCAGACCCACCTTGTTTGGATTGTTGACAACCACCATCTGGGTCACCTTCGCTGTGCCTCGTGCAGGGAGAGAGTCTCCACTGGGGGCCTTCATGTGTAACTGGACACTCTGTAGGAAGATTAAATAGGACTGAAGCTTAAAGCGCCAACCACACTCATGTTGTTGTTAAGTTCCTTGAACATGACTGACACCCATCTAGAGGGCTGTAGATGGGATATTACAAATGCTGAGGTTAGGTCCAAATTCCCCTTGGGCAATCCCAACCCTTGAGGAAATGTCTGACTGGAAACCAAAAGACTAAATCCTACTTGTTTCCATATCACATTCATTTAGCTCTTAATATTTCTGTAAATGTCATCTCCCTGCATCTCCATGCAGGGTGATGACATGTCATCTCATTTAGGGAGACTGTCATCTCCCTAAATGCTGTTTAAAAGAATTCTCCCCACTACATGAAATATAATTATAGTGGATAAATACAAAATCATTTTACATTAGTACCATTTACTTTTACATTTGTATTTTATCTACTGTGTTACTGTGCCAACTTGAAGTTAAAACTAAATCTGATCTCTGTTATGTTTCACACAGTTACTGTATCTTGTGTATGTGATAGCACTGAACACTGGTAAGATGACATCAGGAGAACAGATGCAGATAGTGCTCTAACCCTTGACAGGTTCCCCAGAAGACCATTCCTGATAGAGAACGCTTGCTTGGCAGTGTGCTTGTCTGTGGATGATTAACACAGTGTTTCATGCCTGTTAGTGAGACCAACCTTGGGTACAGCAGCCTGCAGTGTGAAGCTGCTGATGTCTGAGTCAGTGGAGTTGGAGGCTGTGAGCGTGACTGTCAGGCCTGAGTCGGACTGTTTCTCACAACTTAGTGTCAAAGTCACACCGTGTTTCTCATATGCCGTCAGTGTAGGAGCTATGGGAAACAGATATTTTAAAAATCTGCATTAAACTACAAAAAGTACAGACCAAAAATACAAAAACATTGACAGTGGGGGAGGTTACCTAATGGCTTGATCTGGAGCAGTGAACACAAGTTTCAGTCTCCTATATTTTGCATAGTCTACTTTCATGTCCAAACTCGTTTTGTCTTTCAGTTTCTGCTAATGTGTGATGTGTACATGTATTTTAGGGTCGGACCTGGTGCATGAGGTGTTGGCTCTAATCCTCCCAACAGATCCAGGAGGTCTCCTCCTGCAGTGCTGGCTGTGTTGACAGACATGCCTGGTGCTGTGCTGCTCTGTGCCAGGCTGGGCTGTACAGGCTCCTCTGAGCCACCCAGCAGGTCCAAGAGGTCACACACCTAAAGATTACCACAGATAGGAAGGGAAACTACAACTTCCACATCCACAAAAGACTTTGTTTGTAAAACATCTGAAGTATTTCAATGCTCATTTTCAAATGCTGTTGTCAAGCTGTCAGAGTGTCTTCAGCCCTGCCTTCGATTATTCTGTTTTACCATTACATCACTGCTAAACCAGTTAGTTTAGCAACATTAGAGCTTAATTTGCATAATATGTGCAGAGAAAATGCAAGGCCAGCTAAGCAAATATATGGAAAAAGGATGATAATACATTGCTGATAATTTGCATGAAAACACAAGTGCAGACCATCATCCAGTGTCTACTGAGTAAATCAGAGATCACTGTTCATGATGGACAGCCCGTAACAGAAGGTACAGTAATGTAACCCTAAAACATTTTACACATCACATTAAAATATTTGTTACTATGTTACATAAAATTCTGCAAGAATTCTTGTTCTTTGCCTCAGGTTTTAGCAATAAAATCCCAGTGATCTTCAGTTTTAAGTTTACACATTTTAAAAAGGAAACATCCACAAAGCATTGTCTGATCTGAGCCAGCCTTACAATGCCTCAAGAGTTCTGTGAACATTCTGGAATTTGGAAAATTTATTTACAGGGTCATCAGTCAAATACTGGCCAAGAAAATGTCATCTAATATGAATGGATCTTTAAACTCCCTTATTTACCTGGTTAGCATTTTGCTGCAGCAACCCCTGCTTGACTTCAGCTGGCTGGATCTCCTTGACCGCTTCCCCTACGGACACTCCATTGGTGTGACCTGGAGAGTTCCTTTCAATCACAGGCATCCTCTCCAGCACTGCTGCCCTTTATTGGCCAGAAAAGACATCTGTTTGTTCAATCACTGGAATAACAGTGTAAACACAATATGCAAGAGGCCAGAAGTAACTCAGACACAGTGCTTATGAAGTTCTCTTACATACCTCATGTGGTCATATTTTTTGAAGAGAGCATTATATTCCACTGCCCTCTGCTGGAGCTCCACATCTATACAGCTGCCGTAGATGCTGACAATGCTCCTGATCCGACTGCCAAAGGTGGGAAGATGAAGAGAAATTCCTCCATTTAAAAACATTTGAATCAGCAGTATTTTCTGAACAACCCCTTGTAATTGAATATTAGACTCAATGAACTACCCTGCTACATTATCTGTCACAACCCCTCATGATGTCTGCTAGCAACTAGAAATGCTGTGATTGCCAGCATTGGTATATGACACATTACCATCAAATCTTTGCCAAAGACATATGAGCACCAGATCATAAGAGCAGCCATTTAATAGAAACATGACAGACATGCTTCAGCTGTATCTGGTCACTGTTTGATATGTGCTGTGAGTGACAGAAGTGGTTCTTACTCCACATTATCAGTGATGCGTGTGCTCAGTTTCATGGTGGCGGTGAGAGCAAAAGCCCTGGTTGCAGGCGATGACATGTGCGACTGCAGAACTGTTTCCAAGGCATCCAGGACATCATCCTCAGTGACCTGAGTGAGAGATGTGTCAACATAAGGTCTTAAAGCTGCCATCGCATTTTTAAAATACTAAACTTAAAACTGTAATACTGGCATCATTTGGCAGCCAATGCAGCACATGTAGATACAGAGTTTCATAGTAAGATGATTCACTACATTTGGTGGTCATTACCTTTTGGGTTGTATTTCTTTTATGTTTTCAATGTACTGTATGCATCTGTGCATACACATTCTAAATTGTATCCAATGTGAAAAGAAGTTATATTTTACTCCACTAAAGTAATAGTCCTTAGCTAATTATCCTTAATAATGCTAAAGTCCTAGTTTTGGTTTTGTAAGCAATTCTTGCTGCAGTGTTTGCACTGCACCTCCCAGTATTCACTACTACTACTACTACTACCACCACTACTTTCGGCTATTCCCCATTAGGGGTTGCCACAGCGAATCAACTGTTCGCTTGTATACATTTGGTACGCGTTTTACGCTGCATGCCCTTCCTGACACAACCCAAAACGGGATATATATATATATGTTACCTCCTTTGGCTGAAATAACTGCAGTGAGACGGTTCTTGTAGCCATCTAATAGTCTCTGACATCGGTCTGAGGGAATTTTATCCCACTCCTCAATGCAGAATTGTTTCAGCTGTGAGATGTTTGAGGGGTTTCTTGCATGTACAGCCCTTTTCAAGTCACCCCACAGCATCTCAATGGGATTCAGGTCTGGACTTTGACTCTGCCATTCCAGGACTCTCCATTTCTTCTTTTTCAGCCAGTCTTTGGTTGATTTACTAGTATGTTTTGGGTCATTGTCATGTTGCATGGTCCAGTTCCGCTTCAGCTTTAATTTTCTAACCGATGGTCTCACATGTTCTTCAAGCACCTTCTGATACACAGTAGAATTCATGGTGGATTCTATGATGGTGAGCTGACCAGGTCCTGCTGCAGCAAAGCAGCCCCAAACCATGACACTTCCACCTCCATGCTTCACAGTTGGTATGAGGTTCTTTTCCTGGAATGCTGTGTTTGGTTTACGCCAAACATGTCCTCTGCTCTGGTGTCCAAATAATTCAATTTTGGACTCATCTGTCCAACGAACATTATTCCAGAAGTCCTGGTCTTTGTCAACATTCTCTCTGGCAAATGTCAGTCTGGCCTTGATGTTTCTCTTAGAGAGCAAAGGTTTCCTCCTTGCACGCCTCCCATGCGAGTTAAACTTGTGCAGTCTCTTTCTGATTGTAGAGGCATGCACTTCTACATCAACAGTAGCCAGAGCCTGCTGTAGGTCTCGAGATGACATTTTAGGGTTTTTGGAGACCTCTTTTAGCATCTTGCGGTCTGCTCTTGGTGTGAACTTGCTGGGGCGACCAGACCTGGGCATGTTGGCAGTTGTTTTGAAAGCCCTCCATTTGTAGACTATCTTCCGGACAGTGGAATGGCTGATTTCAAAATCTTTTGAGATCTTTTTAAATCCCTTACCAGACTCATAAGCTGCTACAATGTTTTTTTCTGAAGGCCTCTGACAGCTCTTTTGCTCTCACCATGGTGCTCACTCTCACTTCAACAGTCAGGAGCACACCAAACTAAATGTCTGAGGTTTAGATAGGGCAAGCCTCATTCAAAATGCTAACGATCTACTAATTATGTGCACCTGGTGTGATATACCTGTGTGTGATCTGAGCCATTTTAAGAGGGCATACATGTGAGGGTGTGCTATCTTTTTCCTCAGTTAGAATAGGCATTTTTGTAGAATTACATTTACAGAAGATCTTGAAAAGACTTTTCTTCAGTTTTACTTGTTTAGTTGTATTACTTTAATCGCTCTGTATTGTTAAAATTGAGATTAAATAACCATATATTAAAACATGTTACACAATACACATGCTTTCAAAGGGTGTCCTAATTTTTTCACATGACTATACTTCAAATGGTAACTACCCAGATCCTGTATGTATTCCAAACTGGGTGTTGTTGGGGATAAAATATAAAACATAACACTTTGTTTCAGCCTTTTTTCTCCTTTGGGGAAATTTCTGCCAGGCACAAGGCATTTATAACTGCAAATACAGCAGCTGTCTACCACCAGACTGAATCAGCACTCAATTATTGCATTCAGCAACAAAGTGCAATCATTTATATGACACTATAAATCAGCACCCGTTGCTTTGTGTACCTGCACAGGCTCAGTCTCCTGACACTCTCCCCTCAGCAGCAGGTCTCCGTACTCTCCTATACACCAGCAGGCCACCTGCACCAGGGGTTGCTGCACGGAGCACATGACACTCATATAACTGTGTATGCTCATGCATTCACAATAAAATGAACTGCTCAAGTTCTTTGCAGACCAGCATGTTAGTTTGACACATCAGAGCCACTTTTCCCTGTTTTCACAGGAAGTCAATGTGGTGGAAGACGGGAAACTGCACCACACTACAGATAAGTACGTGACTGCCCATCTGACTTGGTTCCAAAATTAAAACTGGTTGCATCAGCCAGTTTCACACTAGCTACTGTCACTGCCACAGAGCCAAACCAGCCCTGTCTGGTGCAGAACTGAGACAGACTTTCCTCTAAGATAAAAGCTGGTGAAAGTCTCTTGAGTTTTGAACAACATGCCATGCTACAATATATTAAATATATTATTTTATGAAAAGCTTTGGGCTCTGATAAACAACTCAGGTGTGCTTTAACTGAGTTTGGTCTGTTCAGTATGTAGAATAACAAAGTCCCCAGAAAGTTCCTCTGAATCTCTTTTTGGATCGTCTTTAGCCTGACTGTCTGCTCTCTCTCTGTTTTGCTCTGTATGGAAGTATCTGTCAGTGTGTGTGTGCAACAGATGGAAGCCCTGGACTAACTGGCCAAAGCTGTTCTAATGCTTCTCTTTATTGCTTTTGTAGTCTGTGTAAAAGACTACAAGTACAGACACAGGATTTTAATGTGTAGCTTCACTGAACAATGAAGCTGTCCAACAAGCCGGTCTGCTTAAAACTTCAGGCCACCCCTTTAAGAAAAAGAAATGCCCAAAAAGACACACACACACACACCTGAGAGATGTCAGTGAGCAGTGCCCTGTAGAGCTTGTGGACGGTGTAACAGTGCAGCTCTGAGGCGTTGGTGATAAGCTGAATCAGGTTGGGGACAGTTTCATCTCTCATGTCACCCCCTGCCTGGCAGAGAGGGAATCAAACCCAAATGCACATACAAACACAAACACAAACACAGACAGACACACAAAGCTCCATTAGCTAGAGAGCTGGTCCAAGTATTTGGGTCAACCTACATTTCTCCCCAGACACAATAACTTCACTTGGGGGATGTTTCTATCACAGTTCATATACTTTAAAAAAGACATTTACAGAAATGGATTAACCCTTATTTTAGCCACATGTCTACCTTTACTCATTATATACAGTACCTCTACTCGTCATCATTCTGAGACAACTGCAAAGGATTAATGTAAGAATTAGCTTAACAGTGATCCTGTGAATTTAACCTACAAGGAGGACAAAATAAAAAGTAAGGATGACAGAGTGCAAAATAGAAATCAGGGTATTTAGGATCTGGGGCTGCATGTATGGCTGTTTGCAAAGAAGAGATACAAAGTTAGTACAGCACACTGTCTCTTGTCAAATGCATTTTTCATAAATAACGCAACTCAAAGCAAACAGTATACAGCCTTGATACATGTGGCCTGTGGTATCTACACTGAGGCATAGCCCCATTAATGGCCACAGCACACAACTTTAAAAGAGATGTGAGTATGAAACCCATGTCAGCAGGGTGAGTAGTCGTATTTACCGTGGTGAGGACATGCAGGATGGTGTCAATGTGCCAGCGCTGGGAAGGTGCATACCTGATAGAGATACAGAGACAGCTAACTCAGTGGCATTGGAGGGTGAGTCAGGAACATGCACACAACTGCACTGGCATCCTGCACACAGACACCTTGTTTTCATCACTTAGGGGGGCTTTACATTGGCTTACATTCATTTCCAGGAGACTTACTTTAACCCTAATACCTAACCTTACACTGAGATGGCCAACGGCATGTCCCCACAAAGTGAAAGGCTCCCGGTTAGGGGTCCCCACAAGTATTAGAAAATAAAACCACACATGCAAACGAACACAGGGGTGCATCAAGCGCTAGAATAATGAACTGCAGAAACAAAAGAGGCTAGTCATTGTCACGGTGCCAGTGAAATAGACAGATATCATTCAGAGAGGAGACAGACACAGAGAGGGACATTCAGCCACATACAGCTGTTACAATACATCATAATAATGCTCCCATTTCTTGTTTTTTGCAAAACGTCAATCAGCTCTTGGCACACCAGAGCACATTAAATGTCTGTACATGTGCATGAATGTGTTTGTGATTACATGCATAGATGCAGTATTTCTACTTAATGCAGTCACTTTATGTGCACGTTCACTTGTCGGCAGCGTTTCACTCACCTCTCTGCAGCGTTGAAGATGCCGCTGCCTGCTTCAGCTCTGAGATCAGGAGGGCAGGAGGACAGGAAGAGGAGTAGTTCCTTCATCATGGAGCGGATGTTGGAGGCTGACACCAGAGCCAAGGAGAGCTCCAACGCACGGCTTGGGGAATGGCAAGAGAGGATAAACGATTGTAATGTAGTAAACACAGTACACATGAGACTCTGCTGTAACTGGGAGTGTGGTCCCATTTCACTTTTGAAATCACTACGTAGCTCATAGAACGATTCTATCATGACAGGTTGTCAGCAGACACGCAATTGTGCCATCTATTGTCAACATTATTTACAGCCTCTTGTGTGCAAGTGTAGTCCATGGGTCTCGAACTCGTCGCTCGAGAGTCACCAGTAGCTTGCTCCCTGTTTTTGAGTAGCTCACCTGAAGGTTCATAGAAAACAGTCCACCTGTGTACAGACTGCAGATGCAAACATTAAAACAGTAAACCTAGCTCCAACTGCAGTCTAATCAAACACACAGATGTCCTGCCATCCACTGACACCAAACTGTTTGCCAATCAGCTGTTGCTGCTGTCAAGTTTGTTTGTTTGTCAGTTACACGGTGCAGTAGTGTTTGCGGTGTTAAACATTAAAAGCTTTCACTTAAATAAACCAGTATAAACTAAACATTTACACAGGACAAATACATACTGAGAGGTTTAAAGTACCCTGCCTCAAGCAGCTCTGTTTATACAACACCTGTATTACATAAAACACGTAGATGTAAACTATCAAATCAAATAAGGTTTTGATTTGATAATGATAATCACTTTTACTGGCCAAGTATGTTACACACACAAGGAACTGGCCTCCAGTACAGAACCGAGGCAGCCATATGTGGTGCCAACTCTCACACACACACACACACACACACACACAGATGGCAGCGCTGTCCCTGCAAAGCACTGCTCTGGCCATCGGGAGCATTTGTGAAGAGAGGTACACGTTGTGAGCTCGACACTTGGAAGAGATGACTGATGTGAGATAAAATGATTTTGGTACAGTTTATATGGTTTAATACAATATGCAAATGAATGTAACTAATAATATATGATATGAGTCGCTCTTAGCCCCTGTCATTTTGTCAATGTAGGTCTCCAAAGAATAAAAGGTTGGAGACCTGAATATAAATACAACAGCAACTGTGCTGCCACAGGTGGCGGTAGCAACAATGTACCAAATATGTGAAAGTGCTTTAAAGAATAACATAACATCAGACTAAAAAGTAGTGTATTGCTGTCCTCTCAGATTGAAAGTTTCAAACCTACTTCAGCTGGGAGTGGTCAGCAATGTGCACTGCTGCACTTGTAACCACACCCAGCAGTGATGTTGTGGCGTTCTGGAGTACACCTGTACATCACTGCAGCAACATGAGATATTAAACCCTGGGGGTTAGCAAAAACAAGAGTTTCAGGGGGCTGGTAAGTTACTCTTATAAGCATGACATTATAAAATAATTAAGTTCAATTCAATCTAGACATACACTGGAAAAGCATGACCTCACAGTCTCCGATTTACTGAACAGCTGTGGAATAACAGCTGCGCCTGACAAGCAAAGAAGGGGTGAAAGTTACCGTTTGACAGAAGCGTCCTGGTCCTTCAGGCAGTCCACTATGGTGCCCCTGTGGCGCTGCACCGCGTTGTGGTCTGTCCCAACAATCTTCTGAAGACAGGTCATGGCGATATACCTGGACAAACATACAAAACAGCCAAAACTGTCATGTTTTAATCTGCATACTACATAATGCTGAAGTGCTACATTCCTTAAATATATTTAACAAATAAATATTTTTATATAATTCCTAACCACCAGCTAACAAACAAGATGAATTATTTAATTTATTAGTCAAATAAATCATTTATGTTTTCAGTTGAAATGTGTCATGAACTGATTAAGTATTTATGTGCACAGGAGGGCTATAATGTGGTCAGACAGGTCTCACTAGTCTTATTGCTGTCACACAACCACAGAGAGATTCAGAGATCTTGCAGATAAAAGACAGGTCTGCTGGGCCACATGGCTCCTATGAAGACACACCCAAAAGAAACAGCAGCATAACAAAACCCTAGAGGTACTTGTAACAGGCCTCCGCACTGTCTGGTGAAAAATGACACTAAAAATAAGAGATGAACATAAACAGAGAGACAGTGACATTCTGGTATGGCTCTAGGGGAACAGCTCCAGGGGAAGTCACTAGTGAGTGTCGGAATGTTTCTCTTTGGCCGCAGCGAGTTTTCTGTTGGCCTTGCACAACGGAAAAGGTATGATGACCCTGAGAGATAAGAAAGGACGGCGGGAAGGATGGGGGAAGAGGTGGAAAGAGAAAGAGAAACAGGAATGTGAAGGGGGGGAAAAAAATAGCACTGACCTAATGTTCCTGTCGTTGTTTAAGAGAAATCTTCCCAGGATGTTCACAGCCAAAATCTGTAGAACAAGTGAAATGAAGCATGGGTGTATTTATTAACTTGCTAACAACATTCCCCATGTATTAATACAGTTAAAATAATGAGAGGTGCTGTGAGCCGCTCACCCTGAGGCCACTCTCTGACTTGATGTCTAGAACAGTTAGAACAGTCTCATACAGCACAGCATTGCCCACAGTCTTAGTGCTGTCAGTATTGGTTGCTACCTGCATGGTATGACAAGTAACACACACATCAGTCATACAATAACAGACGTGCATCTCTTTGACCCATGTACCTGTGATACTAAAGATACTAAACACTAAAAATACTAAAGACACTAAAGACCTGTTACATGTTTGAATAAATAATTATTTTGACATTTTGCCACCAGTAATTAATAGAAGCTTTTAAATGTGTTGTTTTTAACACCCAGCTTAGGGCAAGTCTTTCCAGAGAAAAATACTCTGTCAAACAGAAAGTGATGTATTCTACTTGTTCAAGTTTGTTTGGAATACAATAAAACATCTGAGTAGTCAGTATAAGGAGTGATAACCACCATGGTTGAACAGAGAAATGTGACACCCATATAAACTTCACCAACAGAAACTGGGCCTAAAATATTATCTAAATACTTTTAGGTTATATAGCGATACACAATAGTCCTGTAAAACACTTTATAAATGCTCAATTTAACCCTTTGACGCATTGAATCACACCAGTATGATGATTCTAGTCGTCCCTGCAACATACGTCAGCATTAAATATTCTTGTTTATATTCACTGGAGTAATTGTAAACTTGTATGCAAAAACTGGGAAGTCATAATCCAGTTACATAAAAAGAACCCTGTTTATTAAAACCAGGTAATTGCACACATAGGCTTTTAACAGCTGTTAAATTAAAATAAATAATGGATTATGCAGACCTGTGTAATAAATCATTTGGCTCGGCTAAGCAATAAGAGCTCTTTTAGCTCCCAAATGACTCTTCATATGGTACCACTTCTGTCATTTCAACCAAATTTAGCCACGTTTTGACCTATGATAAATAAGTATGTGTGCTCATTCGATGATTCAATGTAATTATACTGAACCTTATAATTTCCAGAATACTATTATTTTACATTGCTTGGTATAAAAAGATTAATGTAAAAACATCCAACACTATAACACATTTGCACTGAAAGTTTTTTTTATACTGAATGTTGTAAATTTGTGTTTTGTATAAACTACAGCACATCTGGTTCTTGTGCATAAATGTATGTTACAATTCTAATGCTACTGTGATTTCCATATCAAATAAAATAAAACTGAATCTACAGTTCTAACATACTTTTCTCTGTGTTCTACACCCCCAGCCCTTTTAACCTGATGGCATGAGCCATGCCTGTCACCACACATGATTGGCTGTACTGCATGCGCATCAAGTTGGCATTCTCCAGTGACTCAAACACTGGGGACTTGAGACTTGACCTGGACTCAAGCTTTAGTGACTTGACTACAACACTATAATAGTTTTTGTTAAAATGAACCTTGTACCTGAGCTAAAAGGTCGTTCATGGCGTCACTGGCTGCTTCATTGTTGCGACCAAGGATTCTCAGCAACCTCAGGATGCGCACCTGGTAATGGAAGCAGGATGGACTACACATTATTCTGGTAGACAGTATCAGCATAAAAAAGAGAATCAATCTATGTAAATGAAAGAAAAAGACATCTTAAATCAGAGTCCCTGCCATGAAGCAAAATAAGTCCTATAATGCCCAGTCTGATTTTAGAACAATCTCCCAAATGCTTAATAAATCTGGGTTCAAATTGGGATGAGATGTACAGTGGAACCTCGTTTTTCGTATGCCCTACTTTTCGTACGATTCGGTTTTCAACGACTTTTTTCGTTGTTTAATTTTTGTAACAGAAGAACATAAGTATCACCAATAATAATTAAATCAAAGTGTTATAGTCAGTGTAATGACTTACACATTTACTACAATGCCAATAAAGCATCCATTGAACTAAATTAACAAAAACAAACAAGCAACAAATAAGTAAATAAAACATAAGTAAATAAAGCAATGAGAGATGTGATACTGTATAAGGAGTGAAACCGACTGACTTGCAGAAAGGGATCACTGACTCCTGCCACGTCATGCTCTGGAGAATAACCGGAAATGACCAGACCTTTCATGATCTGAACCAGATCTGGTACTGTCTGAAGATACACACAGGCAGCACAAACATATTACAACACACATGCAAAGATCCTGAGCCTACCAGATCATGAATCATGAATGTGCCTGTGTGTATGTCTGTTCATAATACCTTCCTGAACAGCTCCAGTGTTTCAGGGTTCCACGCACACAACTCAGTGATGAGCACCACAGCACCATATAACACACCTAGGGATAGATGGGGAAAAAAATGAAGAATGCTTGGAAATGATATCTCTGAGACATGATTACAGATATGTGTAATGAAGATCTACTAACCATGGTTCTTCTCAGAAAGTAGGGAGCGGGCAGCAGGGGCAAAGAGCTCCCCCAGATCCTGGACTTTTCTTACAATATGAACAGCACACAGAGCGGCCTGGAGGAGCAGTGGAGTGACTTATCAGCACTATTACATCATTACAACAACAACAAACCAATGACAGCGGGATCTTGTTAGTTGTACTGCTGCCAAAGGATCCATGCACAACAACAGTTTTAAATGGGCTGTAAATAGACCACCAAGTAAATCTCATGCTGAGATGGTTTGATTTAACTGGGCCGCACAGACTATAAATCAAAAACACATTAAACACTAGTAGGAGATGCAGTAATATATCATAGTATCTTTTAAATGAGCCACATTTTACAGTAATTGTTTTAAGGGCAAAGGCCAATTATTGCTTGTAAAAAAATTTAATCTTAATTTCTGTTTTTGTTGCATATTAATGTGGTTACACATCATTTTTCAAAGAAAGGAAAAACAATGCTCTTTCAAACTAGGGTTAATGTACTAGTGACACAATCACTGTATTAAAGTGTGAGCCAAGTCATACACAACAATGCTGATAGTAACGAGAATATTATTAAATAGCACTGTTGAAGTTCCCACCTTCTTCTTAATGTAGGAGTTGGTGCCTCGGAGCAGCCTGTCAATCTCTGGCGCCAGATCTCTGCACATCTCAGCTGAACCCATACAGGCCAGCGTGCACAGAGCCAGAGACTGCACATACTGGTTACTGTGAGACAGGTCACTGAGAAACACACAGAGAGAAAAACACAACGATGATAGTATAGGTCTAAGTGTATCAACATGTCTGCAATCTTCAGCATTTTATGAAAATCATGAGAACTGAATGACTGAATCATGGGATGTGGTCATTTATGTCACTTGCTTTGATTCTCCTTTCTGATGTACCGTAGTTGTCACCATTTTGTCTACTAGCATTATCCTTTTTACTTGAAAATAAATGATCAATTATGATAATTTACTATTGCCAAACATACGGCTGTGATGTTTCACACCAATGCTATGAATCACAACTTGATGGAAATGAGCAAAATCCTTGAGCTGTAATGCTTTTTCCCCATATATGCAGCAGTACTCCCCAACACTTGTAAACCTGGGCTGTCCTTACTTCTTGATGGAGTTAGTGATGAGCAGGCTGGCATCCTGTTTCTCATCCAGCAGCATCATGGCTCCCAGGTATCCCACACGCTTCTCACTGTAGTGGGGGCTGGCTATCATCCGAACGCACTCCATCTAATGGAAAGTGCAACAACTCCTTTAAATGTCAAGGTAACACTAATAGCACTAATGCCCCTGAGGAAATTCTCTGCTCTTTGTCTGTTCCCAGCTGGAGGTCAGGCTCAGCGCCAGAGCAGTAGCAGCCCTGGAGCTGGGAGGGATTCAGTGGCCCACTTCTAATGCCAACTGTCATGGGCTCACAGACTCTGACATGGACAACTGAAGTGGAGACTTTGCTTGAGGGAATTAAACACAATTCATAGTCCACTGATAAAAGAGGAACTGTAAAAGAGCAACAGAGTACACATTTCATGCAGCTAATATTATCATAGTTTATTATATTCAGCATGTGATGCCACAGTGTTCGATCTCATTTTAAGTTCTGCCATGCACTCACACATGTTTTCTGAGCACAGATGAGAGACAAGTGCTAAAGATATAGTGGCTGGACACTGGGTTCGTACCTGTATTTTGCAGTATTTTGCAGTATTTTGGTGGACTAAACCCGGAACCTTCAGCTCCAGCTGCCCTGATGGTTTCTCACCCCTGCTAACCCCATAAACCCACGCAATCCCATGACAGGCATTAGCCGAATCCCCTCACCTGACCAAAGTGAGCGGGGTAGCCCAACATGTGCACATAGAGCAGCTTGGCCAGGTTGTGCGATCGTCCCCCGTTGTCAGCTTGTCTGAACTGTGCCCGGATGGCTGCACACTCCCTCTGTATTACACCCCGCTCCTCACACTGCGTCCTGGCTGACCTGATGGCCCGGATCATCTCCTGCAGGGCTACTGAAGGAGACATGGCTGTGTATGTGTGGGGGTGGGTGGGTGTATGAGGGGATGCGTTTTTTGGTATGTGTGTTTGTGGTGTGGTATCAAGAATATGTTAAAGTATGCAACAATATTAATAAATAACAAAGTGATGTTCAGCGTTACACTGTGTAAGTTAATATTTCACTTCCTGTATAAGCCAGGTGTGTGTGAAGTAGGCTACTGATACCGTGTCCATCACACACACACACACTACACACATATAGTGTTACTACACGATAATACATAAGAGCTCTGCTATCAGTAAAACACACAACAAAAGTGTGTGTATTTGAAAAACAAGTGTAACAACTTAAACTACATCACAAATCTGGTAAACAGTGAGGTGAGAGGTTGTTTAGCATTATTCACTCCTACAGCTGTCTTAACAATAGAAAGTTCACATTATTGCCAGTAGTCTGCATCTGCATGACTTTGCCGTCGTAAAAAGCATTTCAGTTAACAAGTTAACTAACCGGTTAGCACGACACTTGCGCGGTCGACGATACACGTCAATGAAAAGAGCCAAACACTAAGTTAGCCAGCTGACCGAGGCGAGCTAGCGTTTACCTTGTAGAAGCTGTCAAGCAAGCCGTGTGAACGTGGAGCTAAAAGGCTATCTAAATTAGCACGAACCTATTTATGTGAATGGTTTCAAGGCCAAAATTACAACGTACCTGTCCACTGTCTAGCCGTCAGTATTTATAAAGTAGCCCGGTTGGACAGACACCCCCCATATACACTAGAGCCGTATCCATATAATGTCAAAAGAATAAAATAATCGTGACTTCCTGTCAGAACTTTCAAAATAAAACCAGTTATGAGTAATATTGTAATTAGAATTTTATATACATATATAACTCTGCCTCAAAAAGTCCATTGTGTGGGCTACAGTGTGGATTCCTTCATTACTGTAGTTCATTATAGCCCCAAAATGTGTTCAATTGTGAAATAGCAGTATAACTGACAAATTTGAAATAGATTATAGCATAGTGTTGTGACAATGCATTTTAATTTAAGGGCAACACTACCTTGCTCTTTTCTTTCTTGTTTTTTTTTTTTTAATATAAAAAAAAAAAAAAAAAAAAAAAATTCTTGTAATGTTACGCATTACCTACCTGGGCTTGTCATTCTTTATCATGACTTCCGCAATTTGATCCCAATTTTCCCCTCCCCTCTACGTCAGGTGGTCCAGCAGGTGTATAAAACATTAATGCTGAGGTGCAACAGGAAGCACAGTACCAATACCACTGCAGTATAGGTAGGTGAGTACGTAATACAAGCCAACACAGTGAGACTTTATGAAGACAATTATGCATCCCAATATCTGTTGAGAAACCAAATGTGTATTAGATCATACCAGTGATAAACATACCTCAGAAAATCCCTAGATTTTTAAATTAGATGGATCAGGACCATCTGTGAAATATTTGTGATTTTCTGTCCTGAGTTTTCTGTTTATGTCAAGGAACTGCAATAATGGAAAATGTCGAGGTGTGACCTCTCCTTGTGTGGACTTATTTATTTATACTTAGGAAGATCCACAGAGTCTCTGAAGTGCTGAGAACATACATAGTTTCAAGAAAAAGAATTGAATTCACAAAACTAAATGTACAATAATTAACCAGTAACCAATTTTCCATAGAAATGATTAGAACTGCAGAGCTATGTGCAGGGAAAAACACATTTTCTTTCTAAAGTGCAATGTGCCTTCTCTCTATTACTGAAAGGGGAAGATTTGGAATGAATTATTCAAATAACTTTGTTAATAAATGTTGAGTCAAATGAGAGTAAAAGACATTAGACAATCTGGAAATTTTAATTTGAGTGTGATGATAGTGAGGTGAAAGTATACACAATATACAATACAATAAAAATGTTTCTACTGCCTCTAAGACTCAAACCTCAATCAATAGATTGTACAAGACAAACAGAGAAATGCTTTCCATGCTTAAGGTGAAGAAAAAATATGATCCATAATTTCTGTTATGTTGTTTAATCTGAAAACAGATGTTTCCAGATCATATGCTGAAACAGCTGTGCTCAGAATTAAGGCAAGAAAGTCCAGTATTGTAGAACATAATGTTTCTTCAAGCAAATAAACATGCTTGTCTTTCTGTGGCTGTTCCTCACATTTTTCCTTTCAAAACACAGCTGAGTGTGAGTGATTGTCTGTTAATGCACATGCTCAAGCATTTGTTTAGGGGATTTCCATCTTCCTTCTCTTTATCTTTCTTTCGAGGACCATGGGGCTCAGGGTTCTTCACCATATCTGGGTAGACCACTGAGCAAACTGTGTTTATATTAGGAGATAATGGTTCTGTATCAAACTGTGCTGGCATTTTATTCATCCACTTTAATATCTAGTAGTACAATTGTGATTTGTTTAGTCTGAACTATGATGGAAAGTCTAGATGCACTGATCCATTTGTTTAAGGACTTAAGATGCTCAATTATTAGTGAAGCAGGGCTGCATTTGGTGCTAATACATCAAAACTGTATATAAAACTTAAGTGAAAGTTATATATACTGTATATGACATAGGTAAAAAGGGGAGCACCTCAGCAGGCAGTAGTGTGAGATCACAGTGAAAACACAAGCGTTTGACTCTGCCTACTGGGGTGCTCTGGTGTCCCCCCACATTGAAATCATGCAGCAATTGGGACAATCTACACTTACTGATTAATAAGTGAAGTGGCAATAAAAAAAATACAATACAAATAAAATTTTTGTTCATCTGTCATTGTTTTCATGGAGATGTTATTCATCTCGGACTCAAGTTCTACTGATTTATTTGACCACCTGTACTAGTGTTACAGTTCTAGTCATAACCCCAAATAGATATCACTTGAGTTTCAATTGACTGCAGGCACCGAGATTCAAACCTTCAACTTTCTGGTTGGGAGACAACTCCTCTACCCACTGCACCACTGTCACCTCTCCATTAAGTAACATTACTAAGAGGGAATGACATTTAAACCTTTCAGCTTTGTAGTTTTGTGTGACTGTCTCCTTCTCAAAATGCCAAATAAACTATGAACCTTCTAAGTTCATGTGTGCTTATTAGCCTAAATGAACTTTGCAATAAGAAAACTATAAATTACTCCTTTCACATGACCAAAATTTAATGTCTGAACTGCAGTGGCAGGTAAAACATTTAAGCCTTTTGCTCCCAGTATGTGCCTAACTTAAGCAACTGCAACTCTTACAATGATATGCTGACAGGCATGATAAGGCTACACAGGGTTTGTGGCCCTTCACTCATAGACCAAACATACCACTAAACAGATTACCTGACCAGCAGATTTGTCACCTAAGGGTGACCTCTATTGGACAACTCACATCCTAGGTTGGGTCTTATTATAAATAGCACTGCCATCATCTAAAAATTTACTTCTACAATGATTTTCATTCAAATCCCAAAAACCTGCAACCATTTAGAGAACATTACAGTGTGTTTTTATTTGCATGGTTCAAACATACAGAAACTAACAAACTGTATGGAGGAGATTCCCAAACAACACAGTATGTGACAGGAACACAGTTACTTTCTTCTGACCCCTTCATGCTGAGGAGAAGAGTGTTTTGTCAGTATGTAGAGGCCTGTGTGAAATGTGTTTGATAAGGCATATGTCCTGTTGATTTGAATGTGTATGTCCGTTTAGAACAGTAGGAACATAACAAAAAAAATTAAAAAAAGTATGACATGACAAACCAGTGAAGCTAGAGAACGAGGTTTCATCCAACCTGAATGAGCCAAACACACAGAAACAATACAGTGTGTACAGATTGAAACCACAGATTGAAATCTGGTTTATCCAATCAACATTTTCATTGCCAGCTCAAAAGTGCTACCACTGGTTTTTAAGGGCTCATACCACCACCTGACCTAGTTGTATCTGTGTATATATATATAAAAAAAACCCAGTCCACCTCCCCACTTCAACTGCCACCAAACGTGCGAGTGTTTGTCTGTTGACAGGTGTGCTACATGTTGTCTTCAAAGGCCAATCGTGTAGGAGCGTCCGGCAGAGTTGTGGATGGCAGAGCAGGAGGGCTCGGTCACAGCCCATTCATACCACACCTTCTTTCCATTGTTGCAGCGCCAGAATCGCACTGTAACGTTATCATCCCGGGATATTGAGATGGGTTGCTATAGGAAGGAAAGGAATAGAAAGATGAATCTATGAAGACAATGTTGTTTATTCATAAATGTGATTTCACGAGACTGTTCACTTACTTTGAGTGGAAACAGAATGGGGAACCAAGAGAACATTCCAGGTGAATGCGTGTCTGGTTTTATACCTGAAACAAACACATGCACAATGTAAATATTTAGACTTAGCTCAGTATGAGTTTTTCCTTATTAAGCTGACTTACTGAGAGTGACATCTTTGTACAGTGTGGTCTCAAAGTAGCCAGCAAAGCCATGAAGCACCGAGTTACAACCCACTGGGAATCTGAGGCACTGATACCGGTTGTTGTTCATATCTGAAAGAGAAGAGGGCAGATGGTCAACACATTCAAAATGCATCTTGTTCAAGTGTATAGTGTCCTATTTGGCATACAGGGACTCTTGTGTTTCTTTATACCTGTTGTGGGGTGTGTGAAGGTGAAGCAAGGTTTTGGGTCAGCTAGTTGGTGGAAGTTATGAAGGCGCACTACATAGGGCATCTCAAAATGGCACTCTGGGTCCTTGTCCCGTTCCCGGCAGCCTCGTACTTCATTGTAAAGCTTGGAGGACGACAGAGGAGCCACAAAGGATGTGTAGGAACAGGGGATGCTCACTCCATCATCTGAGAGTAACATGATGAGGTGAGGAAAAGGAGAAAGTGATATAAGAAGCAAGGAAGCATGGAAGGTAATGGAGGATAACAAATGCTGTCCAAGTTGGTTGATATAGCAAACAAGGAAGGGTACTGTGCATTCCATGACTCTGAAACTACAGCACTTACATGGAGGTAATCGTTTTTAAATAGGAAACCAGGAGAGTCTGCATAAACCATGGCAGAAAAGTACCTTTGAGAAAGTGCTGCGCTCCATCCAAGCATTCAGGAGAGAGTTCATTGTCACCAAATGAACCAAGGAGCTCGCTCACCAAGATGTCAGCCTTCTCAGGCGCTTCCCAGTCACGCATGTCACATGACACCACTGTCACCTGATCACCCCACTCCTCAAAGCGCCAGTTCTCTAGCCTGAACAAGTCACAGTCAAAGCATCGGTGCAACTTAATAACGTAAGCATTCAAAGTTTCAGAGTACACAAAAAAATATACAACTACATGCAATCTCAAGAAGTTATTGATGTGCTGCAGTGCAACTCTGGCAAGTTGTACACACATACATGCACTTTAATTGGTCTGTCAGTTTTTCTATGCCATTGTGGACCATGGACAAATGTCTCTTTGAAAGAAGTATTTTTGTATTTCATAAGGCATCAATATGCCCACAAACAAATTTTATCCACCAGTGTCTGATCACACCAGGACACATTAACAGCCTTCCAAAATCCAACTCCTCTTGTGATCCACTGATGCGATTTATTCTGGCATAACCAGATGGTAAACGCAGAGATGACAAGTGTTTGTGTGCTAATAGTTTTCCTGTGAAGGTGTACTATATGTTTCTGCAGTACTCACATACTGACATAATGAGCTGTACTTTACTCACGTAATGACGGCATTGGGATTTTTCTCCACAGCATATATCCGGAGCTTCCTGTCTGCCTGTCTGGCAGCACGCAGAGATGCGTTGACCAGTGGGCCTCTACCTGCTCCTAACACCATCAACACCCTGCCAGAGAGACACCGTTTAGACAGTACTGCTTCATGATTCATCTTACCATATGAAGTAATTATGGCATTGACAGATTTCAATACAACAATTTCTGAATTCAAGCTATTTTGTCTTTGTTTCTATACACTTACTGAACATTAGTCTCTTTCTGCTCTTCTGGAACTCTGTCAAGTAGACATTTATACACAGCCTGCAGACAATGACAAAGCAGGAGTATTCAATGTATGTAGACATTTATACACAGCCTGCAGACACAATGACAAAGCAGGTGTATTCAATGTACTGCGTGTCAAACTTTGACCAACTAACAACTACTCCTCTCAAAGCCTACTTTCACAAAACTGGACATGGTTAGTGATGTGCAAGTGCTACACAAATGCCACTCTGTCCCTTCAGTTACAAACACTGACTGGAGAGCAATTCATACCATATAGAAAGTAGGAGACGTGTCACTTAAGTCTTCCTTTAGGGTGAATGTTCACTAAGCTGAATCTCTCAGTCAGTATACACTGACATGTTCTTTGAGTAGACAACTAAAACAGTGTCCGTGTGAAATGGCCATTAAACTACACTGCTCAAAAAACTTGAGGGAACACTTAAATCACACATCAGATTTTGATGAACAAGTTGTTCAATTTGAAAACTTTCACTCATCTACACTGTATAATTTAGCATTTCCAGATGTTGACAGGAGCATATACAGCTCTGGTGGACATTCCTGCAGTCAGCATGCCAATTGCACGCTCCCTCAAAACTTGCAACATCTGTGGCATTGTGCTGTGTGATAGAACTGCACATTTTAGAGTGGCCTTTTATTGTGGCCAGCCTAAGGTACACCTGTGCAATAATCATGCTGTCTAATCAGCATCTTGATATGCCACACCTGTGAGGTGGATGGATTATCTCGGCAAAGGAGAAGTGCTCACTAACACAGATTTAGACAGATTTGTGAACAGTATTTGAGAGAAACAGGCCTTTTGTCAACATAGAACAAGTCGTAGATCTTTGAGTTCAGCTCATGAAAAATGGGGGCAAACACAAAAGTGTTGCATTTATAATTTTGTTCAGTGTACGTTTCTGTCCCTTTAATGGGATTTCTTTGATTCCAAGCAAAAATTAGGACATTTTATTTACTAGCAGCCAGTAAATGTGCTCTATGGTTTTCCACTACTCTAAAAATGTTTTAACAGGTGCAGTTGCAGCTATGTTACAGTTGTGTCTGATGATCTTACCTGTTGGTACTGTGAGTATTTAACAGGATCCTTCTCAAACACTTCATATGTCTGAGAGTCCAAGTTGTCCATGAGGGGCTTGTGGGAGAGAGGAAAGTCACGTTCAATCATTGTTAAAAATTAAAACAAACAATCTATGTAAATATAAATAAAATCTTCCCAACCTGTAGAGGGGACTGCAAGTAGTCTTCATAGCCCTTGGCGAAGAGCTCGTAGGCATTGGGCGCAGGCCGGTTCTTGTGGAGGTGTCCCAGGTACTGCAGGTAGCACCGGAAGTCCTTGTCAGTGTGGCGACTGGTGCCTGCCAATATGAACTGGGCCTCCAGCTACGGAAAGAAACTGTTTTTATACAACACTTCTACATTTGGCTTCTGATGAACTTCTGCTGAATGAAGTGATTAGGAATTATTATTCTGTACTTTGAAAAGACGAAAGATGATTCGCTGATGGGCTTTGGACAAAACAGGGAAGCCCTTTTTATTCGTTAGGAAGATGCTGGTGGGAAGTATGGCTGCTTTGATAGTTTCACCAAGCCACTTGTCTATCACAGCGTCTGATGGCATGTCTGCTCCAACTTCAATAGCTTCAGGAATACAAACAAGTACATTTTCAGTAGCAGGCAAAGCCATAAAAATTCTTTATTGTACTGACATTGCCCCAGGCAAGCTGCTCCACAGTGTGCTTTCTCACCAAGACAGATCCTCTTGTTGTAATCACAAAGGGTTCTAAATGAGTGCCACCTAAAAGAGCAGAGGCAAGTAAACAATGAGTCACGGTATTAAAGGAAATCAGTGACAACTGTTTTAGCATGCAGACAGCACTTAGCTGCTAACTAACCAGCTCCAGGTCTTCTCATCAACACTTGTGTCATCAATGTAAGTGGTCGGTTCATTCTCAATCAGATCTTCCCGCATGTCCTCTGAGGCCATCAGTGGGACACATATCCAGTACTAATGAGACACAGAGGACAATAACAATCAGCTGTTGACTTTAGATGTGTGTATGTAATACAACCAACATTTTTCTGGTGCTTTATAATTGATATTTTATATCATGCATGCACAGGGCTCCAGACCAATAAATGTATTTAAGGTGCAAGTGGCTTTTTTTCAAAGGTTGCATTGGGTGCAACTGCAAAATAAACAGCTTATGCACGAATGATGCTCACTGTAAAAAGAGTGGACAGACGTTAACAATGTCCACGATATGCAACATTTATTTGCAGGTCTGTCACGTGTCCGTCTCACAAGGCAGGGACTTCCAATATATCAAATGTGTCAATCCACAGACTGAGACACAAACAAGATTGGACCTTCCTTTTTATGCTTCGAGTCTATTTTTTCCTATGGTGCATTTGAAGTGAAATCACCACAGACAGCTGCTTAAATCAGGTAGATCACCTGTTAGCCTATTTTATGTGTTGTAAGCGAAATACTTTAATTCATCAGTTTATACTTCAGTTGAAATATGATAGCCTAATCATTATCGTAACACATACATACATAAAAAGAGCTGCAGACTTGCATCAGAAGTGATTTTCCCATCTATTGTGCTCCATAAGTTTCCCTCTCTTTGAATTTCATTATAAATACAGGCTGTGCACTTTAGATGGCAAAGGTATTTCAAATAATTTATGATAAATAGATTATTTAGCATTACACTGTAAAAGAGAGGTGGTGCCACCATCTGAGACTACGTGGTACCAGTGCCACCAGTATGAAATATTAGTTGGAGCCCTGATGCAACATATTTGCATTCATCTCTCTGATTGCATTGCTGAGAGATATGCTACTTGGCATGATTCATCTCAGTGGGGGACCACCGTGCAGTAGTGATGTCCTGGGCCAGAAATAGCTAAATAAGGAGCTCAGCCAAAGTAATTTGGTTCTTAATAATCTACTGCCTATTATTTCACTGAACTCCTTTGGTCTCTAAACATCATGGGGCACAATTGACCTACTATAAATTAGTGCAAATGATCCTCCTAACCGCATGGGGGGGGGAACAGCTCATTTATTGCAGTGCTTTTTCAAAGTAGGGTGATGCAGTCATATGCATTACTGAGCTGACACTTCACTGAACCACAGTGTACATAGAAAAAAGGTTTTTATTAATACAGTAAGTCTGCTTTGTTAATACAAACCACACGGTGTATGTATACAGCCATAGGCCTATTCTTACATGCCATTAAAAAAAAATTGTGAGAATATTTTCTATATACCCATTTTCATATCAAAAACATCCCCACGTCAGAAATCCAGCACAGTGCTGGAGAACCTGAAGCCCAGTGTGTAGCTTACATTTGAGGTGTGGTGTCCAGTATGGATGTGGTTTAGCAGCAGGCGAGCAAGATTGGCATTCCGAGGGCCTTTCAGAGGGATCATAAAGACGGGCAGACCCAGGTAGGCCGAGAAGTTTAGCTCCTGTGTGAGAGCCTGGAAATAAAAACAGGAAAAATGAGGAGAAGAACGTAGAAGGGCTGACATAAGGACACAATCTAAGACAGACAGAAACTTGCCATGTTAAGTTAATTTACACCAAAGGCTCTTGAGATCAAAACACTTTTTCAGCCTGAACTTAAAGTGTACATCCAAACTGAGGAACTTACAGCTTCCGAGTTTCTGCGTTCCGTCTCAATTTCAGAATCTGCATCAATCCATGGAGAGAGCTTCCCAACAATAAGGGTATTCCAATCTAAGTAAAATGGATCAGTAAGAAACAACATCAACTTGCTTATAATTTCTTAGCAAGTCCTCAAGTCATCTCAGGCTCTTGTTAGTGCTAACAAGATTTACATGTAAAGTACATTATCCGCTTCCTAAAAGTGTTTTAAAATTGAGTGACTGCTCATAAAATGTGATTTTCTAGCTTTTCAGTTTCTAAGGCACTTCGGATATTTAAGACCCATTACACTCAAGTTTGATGAGCTATGTAAACACCAGGTGAAAAAGTCCAAAATAAGTCCCTTCATTTCCCTGCCAAAAGTCTGTTATGTTGCATTATACATTACATACACTGCCATTCAAACGTTTGGATACACTTTCCAATTGAAGTGAAAGGGAAGTGTGTTCAACCTTTTGACTGGCAGTGTATATATTATTGAAATATGAACAAGTAAGGCATGAAATGTGCTCAAAATAATACCCAATAACACACCATATATTAGTGCTAGTAGGAAATAAGTTTGTATAATAAGGTGCGGAACTGAGTTTTCATATATTAAAATGCATCATGCTGAACATGAAAAACAGGCACCGGAAGCTGGCGTGGATATTGGAAAAGGAAGTTTCTGAGTGGTTCAGCAAGAACCAAGAGAGAGTAATATATACTCATCACCTAATTTAAAGTACTACATCCATGTTCAAACTAAAGCATCGGCCATCTTAGAGAATAGGACTAACCTCGTCCACACAACAGCAGGTCAGAGCGGGTCTGGGCACCGGGTCGGGATTTAGCGGGCTCAAACTCAAACTCCCTCCTGAACCTCGGGTGGAACAGTGGCATGCATAAGAACTCAAACCTGGACACCAGAAAAAGAAAGTGCATCGTTCAAGCATTGATGTGATTTACAATTATATCCAGAGGTGAAGTGCAAACCTGTTTACTTAACTATTCCCAGCCTATTGTAAGAGAATAGCTGATACGACTAAAAGAAACACGGCACACCATTGTCATGCATCGCTATAGCTGGGCACGTGCTGTTAATTTACCGGCTAGCTTAGCAAGTATCACGCACTGATATTATGCTCACAAACCAGCGCCTTCGTTTCATAAGTTCACTTTTAATACAAACTAACTGGCAGAGTACACCATTCCTCACCCAAGTTTGGCGACCGCAGTTAACGTGTCGGCTACCTCCGGCACACAATTCAAATCTCTTCCACAGGACACCCTACTCCCCGTACTGACGGATGCCATGATTTCAGCCGACTGCTATCATCTCGCTCCTCTGGTTTTCGAAGAAACCGACGCCATCTTGGATCTGCAATGGCGTGTAAACCCATTTGAGTAACAACGTGCTTTAGAACCAAAATGGCAGTTGCATGTCTCGCAAAATGCCGCGATAACAGCGAAGCGAAAAAATAAGCCGAAACGTTTTACAAGCTAAGTATATGTATGTGCTATAGAACCTCAAAGTAGCTGACATATAAATACATAAATACAGTGTTATAGAGTATATAGTTTGAAAAAAAAGGTATTTCCACACCTTTAGCTTGTTTAGTTGCTATTTGTAATAAAATTACGCTTGCTGTTGGTGCATAGTGCTTTCTTTTAACCACAAACTGAAAATGATGTGAAAGAGTGCAGGCATGTCTTGGACCCTCAAATCAGGTTTGCATAAAATGGCGTCTCCATATATCACTTTCACAGCAGATAAGATAAAATATCACTTATGTCAACTCAAATGCATTTGGCTGGAATCCTAGGTGTGTGTTTTTGTGCTGTGTGATTTTTGAGTGTGTGTGCAAGGTGTCATGTTTGGGAGGGCTATAAAAGAGAAAAATGCTGTTTTTTAGAGTACACCGTATGTAAAAGTGAAAGGTGGCAGCAGTCCCCACTACACATCACTGTGGGATCTACAAGGTTTATGACTTTATTTGACCATACGGATTCTGGTTTAATCTGTCCTTAAAGAGCAATTTTTGACTACTAATTTCTTGGAATCATGCCGATTTTTTGATCAAGGAATCTCTGCTTCTTCACTGACACCATTATGGCATTAGAAGATATTTGCAATTTCAATGATATTCCTATGCATCACAAATGGTTTTCTGCAATGCCTTTGGAAGATACAGCTTCAACTATTAATGTAATAGACTATAACTTTGGATTGAGCCGACAAAAAACATCTAATAGGAATAGTGGGGTCCCACTACATTTTTTTCTACCAACTTCACCTGACTCTGCCCCTTTCCACTACAGACCATCATTTCATTTCCCTGCTTCTAACCATTCACTGAATGTCATCAGGCCTTTCACTCTGGCTCATGGAACAACAACCCTTGGTTTCATCTTCCAAGGTGGGGTCATTGCAGCTGCAGACACACGAGCCAGTGCTGGGGGGCTTGTTGCGTGCCCGGCTGTTCACAAGATTACCCCCATTCACTCCCACTTGGTGGTCACCTCCTCTGGTAGTGGTGCAGACTGCATGCTGTGGGAGCGAATTCTGGCCAGAGAGATCAGACTCTACCAACTTCGGCATAGACAGCGTCTGTCAATACGTGGCGCTGCCAAGCTCCTCTCATTTATGCTGCACCCCTTCAAAGGAACTGATGTGTGTGTGGCTCTTACACTGTGTGGATGGGATAAAGAAGCAGGCAACACAGGCTGTGCAAAGATATCAGAAGATTCAACCTTTAAGATTAATGATAGCTCCTCAGCTCATAGTAGCCAAGATGTTAATGTGAGGGCATATTCTGCATCTCCTAACAGTGGCCCACAGCTGATATATGTGTGCAGTGATGGTACCCGACTGCAAGGAGATGTCTTTTCTGTGGGCTCAGGTTCTCCCTATGCTTATGGAGTCCTGGACAGAGGTTTGAGATGGAGCCTGAGTAGAGATGAGGCCATCTCCTTGGCAAGAGAAGCTGTGTTCAGAGCCACTCACAGAGATGCCTATTCAGGAAACAATGTGGACCTCTTTCACATCACAGCCCAGGGCTGGAAACAAAGACAGAGAGAAGACCTAAAAGAAGAATTTTACAGAGACATGGAGAAGAGGGCAAAGATTGTGGATAAAAGAAAAAGAGTGACAGAACTGGATTCTTATGGATGAAGAATATTTTTGTGTGTGATAGGAGGGGTTGGGTCAAGGAGACATTGTTTTAGAAATAGTTATATTTTAGGAAAAAGTTTGACTTTAGCCAAATTCGTCCAAGTTTTGTCACTTTTGCGTGCTAGGAAAAAAAGTACATATTTTCATATGCCGGCATCTTACTGCAGTAAAGCTTCGATCCGCCACACACACAGGGGGTGCTGTGTGATTGTGCAGCCACGATTCAATTAGCGTTCTTACACTTGGGCGGCGGAAGTTGCTTGCTCTTCAGACTGCTTCAAAGATGGCACTTGCTAGTGTGTTGAAGAGTGATTGTGCGGATTTTTCTTTTGGTAATAGTCATCCTTTTGCGTTTGATTGTGGATCAGGACAGAACAGTTTGAGTTTCGAGGGTACGTCGGGAGACAGCCTCAATTTTTCTGTTAAAAACCCGTTGTTTGCTGGTGACGAGGATGGCGTCGAGAGGAAAATAGAGTTTCTGCACGGAACCACCACCTTAGCATTTAAAGTAAGTTCACAGTTAACTAACTGTACTTATTTGACACCATAAATGTCTTGATAGATTGTTTGTCAGCTTAAATGTTCGATGAATAAATGAGATTTTAAACATCATGCTATAGAGCTAACATAAAGCTTCCTGTCGAACGTTAGCATGCTAGCGTGGCAACAAACTGCTTGCTCATTGCAGATGTTTACAAAGTCACTTGATGCTTTGTGTTATGGCATTTCAAAATCAGCTCAAATCAGTAACGTCAACTTGCTTATCCAGTGTGCCATACTTTCAGAACCGGGCAAGAAGTTCTGATGGAGGATTGTTGAGTGTTTGTTTTCTCTAAAAATTGTCAGATTGTGGAGAATAAATAATATTGGTACCAGGCTTCAAAAACATATGAGTCATAACCACGGTATAAATTTCACGATGTCTATATAGCCATGAAGGTCGTTGCCCTTGCATTAGGGTATGAACCCCTCTATATCTGCTGGAGCTGTACAGCCAAGGTGGCCGGTGTGCCCTCATCAGATGTGGTGGAGCTCTTAACTCCATTGCATCTCAAGTCCATCAGGTCTGAGGAGCAAGCTCTGTAAATGCTTGTTCATGTTCAGTCACAGACATAGGTGTGTGGTTATGGATGTATTGGATAGAACTGTGCACTTACTGAAGCTGGTCATAACAGTAACATACTCAAAGCAAAGGAGGAGATCTTAAAGGGTTTTTAAACCTAATCCTGTTTTTATGTGCTGCAAAAGATGTGACATGTCTTTATTCATTCTTCTTTTGGGATATATTAACTATTACAAGTCCCATGAAAACACCAAAATAACAATGAATTTAAGGCTAATAAGACTGTGGCGCTGAATCAGAATCAACAAAGAACCCCATTGTTGGCCAACATTTAATAAAACCATGCACAAGAGCCATACTATTACACTGGGTTACATAACTTGTTAGTGTAATAAAAAACAGCCACTGCAGCTGTTTCCTCTCCATTTGTCAGATAGAACAGAGCAGGACAAATATTGAATGACATCCCTACAGTTGGTCTTGGTTTCTTCAGGGGATTTGTTGATAATAAAATGATAAAATCGCACATGGAAACACTCCCCAGAAGACACCTCTTTCTGACTGCCCAGACCTGTTGTTTTTAATTCTCTGCTGCTGTTCTGGCTGTCGGTTCCTGTTCGTGGATTTCAGACAGAAGAGCAAAAGCCTTTCCTCTTATCCTACAGCTTTCTGGCAGAGCCAAACTGTATATTGCATCTCTCTGACAGTTGCAGAGCACTTCAAATTTGTAAAACACGCTTACTCTATAATTGTGTATGTGTGTGTGTGTGTGTATGTATATATATGTATATGTATATATATGTATATGTGTATATATATATATGTATATTTTCATTTATTTATTGGTCAGTGATTCTATTCTATAAAAGTGAAATAGTGTTTCAAAAAGTAGGCAACATAATCTGTCAGTAACTGCTCTGTTGTAATGTGTTCACCCCTGCTATAAACTAACATGTTTCTCCTATGCTGTCGCCTCTTTCAGTTCCAGCATGGTGTTATAGTTGCGGTGGACTCTCGGGCCACAGCAGGCTCCTACGTTGCCTCACAGACAGTGAAGAAGGTGATTGAGATCAACCCCTACCTACTGGGTACCATGGCTGGAGGAGCGGCAGACTGTGCCTGCCCGCCCCGCCAGTGCCGCATTTATGAGCTTCGCAACAAAGAGCGCATCTCTGTGGCGGCAGCCTCCAAGCTCCTTGCTAACATGGTGTATCAGTACAAGGGCATGGGACTCAGCATGGGAACCATGGTGTGTGGCTGGGACAAGCGAGGCCCAGGTAATTTCAGATGAATATGACTTCCAGCTTTGACCTAGGTACTCAAACCAAATTTGAATTCCTTTCTGGAAAGATTAGTAACAATTTAGATTAGGCAAATCATTTCCTCTTTTTTAGCTTCCCAAAAAGTTTATTTTCTGCTTTTTTTTGTTTTGTGTGATAGTAAAATATGTGTCTTTGGGTAAAGTGTAAAGCCCCATTCAGGTGGAAGCACCATTTCACGTTGAGCTAGGGGGATAAAATATTCCCTGTGGTCCAAGGTATTTTTGCTTTATGATATCACAGGACATGGGCTGAAATGGACATGGGGTATTGAGCATGTGAAAGCCAAACGCCTCCCCATGGAGGCACAGGAGAGTTGAAGGGAAGGCAAAGATACTGTGTCATAACTCAGTTAAATCTTAACACATGAAACACATATTTATAGTGACACTTCCTGAAGAATTTCTCTTTTTTTATAATCTGTTGCAAATAAACATAAATAAATCTACTTTGAAATCAGAAAAAAAATCCTCCAAAATTTGTTGGAGAAGTTTTCTTCAGTATCAAAGTGTCCAAATGGTTCTTTAGTCAGGAAGAAAGCCAACCTCTTGGGTGATTTGACCTTGGGATTTAGAACATTTTGTTGGACTGATTTACTGTTTTATGATGTTTTTTTTTGGTCAGAAGATTAATCACTAAAACAACTGTAGCCTAATTATTTGTAGTGCTATAGAGAATGTAAAATTGTCGTCATGCCGTGATGAATTTTGGATAAATGCACCATTTTGGGAGATTAGACTCATTATCCATAACAGAGATATACACTACATACACCTGTAAGTTAATTAAAAAAATACTATTCCATAGAGCTGCATACAGTAGCTGGTGCTTCAACTGTGTCCAGGTGTCCACTGTAGTGTAGTTTGAGCACAGAGAGAACAGAAATTGATTCATTTGCCAACAGCTGCTAGCTAGTTTTAGCTCCCGAACAAAGAGCTGATGAGGTCAGGGTGCAGAGTCATTTTTCACTCTGTCGCTCTCATTGACAGGATTTCTAGGTCTGCTACGAATTAGCTACAGTCAGCTAAAGTTGTCCATTCTGAATTACCACAGTCAGTAAAGGTAAATACAATGTGTTCCTCCAAACGTAACTTCAAATTCTCTGTATTACAAAGAAAATGTTTTAAAACCAGACATTAAACTAGACATAACTTTTGCCCTCTAGAAAGCTATCTTGTAACTTATGAGACTGAATTTGAGTAAAGCTATGCAGATTCTGTAAGCTACTATGCAGTATTTTTTCTAACTTTATTTAGGCATGTTATGTTTTAATTGCAGTCCCAACCCTTTTGGAATTTTCAGGAGTTCAGTGTATTTTAGTATCTTTAATGTCTGTTACTACCTGTTTAGCAGATATGTACTTTAATCCAATCAGGCTAAAACCAACACAACACATTTCTGGGACAGTACTATGTAACTGAGGTCTGAGTGAGGCACTCAGACACATTATTTGCCCATTCTTGCCATAGTTGCATGAAGATTTTTATAATTTGGCTTTAAATTTACAGTTCAAGCCATGAGCATGATATTCCACTCATTTAAATATTGTCAGTTTTGCTTGTGAGTGCTCTAACAGTGCCACAGACTTTAGTCCCACTGGAACCATGAGACAGCTTTCATTATTTCCCAAACTGGGTGGACACAAGTGGTGCACTAATAAATCTGAAATCTAGGGCATTTGTTGTGGTTTTGGCTCAGCAGATATTCTGTGTTGATATGAAAAGACTAACCATGCTTAATTATCAAATCATTTAAAGAAATTCTCCACTTTTTCTTGCCAGCAACAAAATGTACTGCTTTTATGTGCACAGAACTGTCAGCGCATGTGGTTTTCCAGCTACATGTGCTGTTGCATTTAAGTAGAAACTGACTTGTAGTTTGCAGAAATACCCACTAGATGATACTACAACCTTTCTTATGCTTTGCTCCTGTTTGCACTTGAAGCTGTGGCTGCTGGAGACCGTACATTACAGGAGGTGTGTTTAAAGAGTCCGCTACAGTGACACAGTAATGGGAAATCGATGAGGCTGAGACTGTGGGCCAGCAAAAGTGTTGAGGGATGATGGACGTTGGGTCTCAGCCCTGGACATTTGGGTCACTTGCCTAATGTCTGTACACCCGCTGAGATCAATGCCAGCTTTGTTTGGAAAGCAAAGAGGTCTGTGTGAACAGTGATGGCCCACTGGTATGCCAGCAAATGTAAATGACACTTGTTAAATCCTGGGAAATCAATTGGGGCAATAATGATCTCTGTTTTTCAGTAGGTGTGGGAGCTTTGCCATGGCCACCACAATGCCACTAATGGAGAGGTGAAAGTCATGTAAATTAAATCAATTGTGATTATGTGGGAAGCTCATTAGCCAGCTACAATTATGTCAAGAGCACTTATTCCCCTGACAGAGTGTCTTAAGCTGAATGCAAAATAAATCAAGTAAAAGTTGCATTGAGGACTTTGACAAATGTGGCTCTATTAAATGTTACGACACTTTTAATCATGTGTAGTTATTGCTTGATGGCTTCAAATTTGGCTTTATGTTGATTTAGAAAAGCAGCTTTAACTACGCAGCGCCCTCTACTGCTCCTTGCAAGGACACAGCCACTCTATAATAAAGTGATATATGATGACAAACAGAAAAATAGGTGCATGATAAGACCTAGTCTGAATGGACCCATGTGGCAGTCAGCCACTCCCAAGAGAGTGATATACAGTAATAGCTTTAGTCCTTTGTTTAACTGCAGCTTCTTCTATTTATTTATTTATTGTCAACTCCTGATCCAGTGGTGAATTCTAGTGGGAAGAACGAGTGATGGACAGACACTGACCCACTTGATGTTCCTCAACCTACCTCTAAAAGCTGTCAGTCTAGCCAGCTGCACAGGCTGCTGTTTAAAAAAAAAAAAAAAAAGCCTGCTTAAGCACCTGTCAGTTGACTGATGGCATAGAAGGAGCCTCACTAGGCCGCCACTGCTGTAGTACTCCGCCATCTGGGCAACGCGCCCCTGATTCTGCTTTAATGTGGGCCTTGTGAATTTCACCTCCCTTTTTGTGTATTGCACAACACAAAGACACCAGGTGTGTTTGGAATGGAATGGAATGGATGTGGGGGTTTTTTGTCTTTTGGTGCTGATCTGCTTCTATACTTGGACATTCTAAAGAGTCCTCATCCACCTCCGTCAACTGTGCTACTCAACACAAGAGGCTGTCTTTACAACTCTCTCTCCCTGCCTATTATGTTTTTAACGAGTCCCTTACAGTTTTCAAGAGGAACAGGCAGGTCTCAGAATGGCAAATTACCCCCGTGCATAGGCAGGCACTAGATGATTATCATGGCAGGCTAACGACAGGCTGAGGAAGCTGCAATTTGCCAGTGGAAAGCAATGGTAAGATGTTTTTTTTTTTTTTCTTTCAGAAAAGCAAGTGGCTCTCTATCCCTAATAGACTGGCCCTAGTTTAGAAGAGGAACTCTGCAAGCGAGGATGTGCATTTTGAAGAGTTTTTTTTTTTTAATATGGCAATGAGTGACTGTGGTATTAGGCAATTTTATATGCATGTATTGCTGTGTTTCGGCGTGTGAGTCATTTTCACAGATTTTGCTTTGTGAAGCGCTGTGAAAAACATGCCTTTTTGTAGGCTGTCTTTTTGCCATCTGCTGTGGGCGAGCTCACAGACTAGTCACCAGTTCCACGTCACTCTTGGATCGGGCCTATTGAATGTGTCATGGCATAGAACAAAATGCTGTGCATGTGTCCACAGAGCCGGGTGTGGAGCAAACTGTCCCTCGCAGGTCCATCAGAGCGTTACTGGTCAACATGTTTGGTGTGGGGTGAGCTCGCTCCTCTGTGTCATTCCAGTGTGTGTGGAATGAGATGAATGTGCTGTGCTGAGCCTATCCACAGGATGTGAGCATGCTGTCGTGTTTTTATATTATTATTATTATTTTTGTCTTCCCTCTTGAGGTACAAGGTGCAGTTACCTGTGCAGCTCAGGTTGTGGGTCGATAGTTAATTTTTGGCATGTTTGCAGGGATCAATAAAGCCCTGAGCAGGGTCCCTAGGCAGACAGGGATGTGGCCCCCACCTTGTCAGCCGGCTCCATGGCCGGCTTTGTTTTACTCGAAGAGGATGCATCTGTTCATATCTGGCAGCCTTACTTCACTTGGAGAGGTTGCAGCTGTTCATATTCTCTCTCTTGAGGACATGGTGTGTGAGTGAGTGTGTGTTCTTACAAGTTTGTGTGAAAGCAGCGAGGTTAGACGTACACTACCTCAGTTTTCTTGACAAACCTCAATATCTGAGTCAGGAGATTGGATGATGCTTACATGTTGAACACAGTTTTTTTTTATATATATATAATATAAAAGCGGCCACAGTTTCTTCCTGCCTCCCTTTGCGTTTTCACCCCCTTGAACTAGGGGTGTGTAATATATCTGGAAATGTTTTATTTTATAACGCTAAGCACGCCATATTTTACATCCATCATAAAATGCCTTTGTCTTATATTGTAGACTGTAAGGTCACTCTTGTTAATAGCATATTAAGTGTTGCTTAATGCTATTAATGGAAACGTATTTCAGTGTTTCCCATACAGTGATTTATTTGTGATGCTGTAGGATATATATATATAGCTGAAAGCCAATACTAACTGCTCAGCAAGTGGATAAAGTTAATGCTAATTCTTAAACTCTGACGCTGAATGTTTGCTCTTTCAGTCCAGAGGAATATTAAAAAATATTTTCTAAGACTCGGAGGACTCGTCCTCTGCAAGCACAGACAGTATGGACCAAAGGTATTAGCAAAGCTGAGTTAGCTTTAGAAGCTTAAGAAAACATGTGGGAAAGCTGAACAGCCCGACCAATGTGATTAGTGATTAGCAATCCAACTAATTTGTTTCAAATACTGTAGTTCCAAACTTCAACCAGTGCTGCTGAAGCAGGAAGAGAGAGATGTAGAGGAGGAGGACAGCAGCCAAGTGCAGTGCTGTGCAGAAGCAACTGGTCAAACACAAGCACAGAAGTGTAGAAGTAAAGCAGCCTCGTTTCTGTTCTTCTGAGCTGAGTGATTAAAGTATTACTGGATTTTAAATTCGGTAGCTACTCGAGTAAGTAAATACTTCATGAAAACATGTCTCCCCACCCGATCAGCTACTACCACAAATAGAATCCAGTTTTTTGGGGAACACTATTTCACATACACAAGCATTGAAATGACCTCAGCAGAATGATTCTGCTAAAGTTTGCTGCATTATTTTTTTTCTTTTCTTTTTTTCATATATTGTTTTTGTAAAGTGACAGACAATCTAATGCCAGCTAGCACATCATTATTAAAACAATTAAGTCATTATTGTAGACAAAATAATTAAGTTATTATCGTAAACGACATATATCGCGCACACCTATCTTGAACACAGTTTTTGTCCTTTCTCCATAGGGCTATACTATGTTGACTCGGAGGGGAACCGGGTGTGCGGCGATCTGTTTGCTGTGGGCTCGGGCTCCATGTATGCCTATGGTGTGATGGACAGTGGCCTGCGCCACGACCTGACTGTGGAGGAGGCCTGCGATCTGGGCCGGCGTGCCATCTACCAGGCCACATACCGTGACGCCTACAGCGGAGGGCAGGTCAACCTGTATCACGTTCACAGCGAGGGCTGGACCAGGGTCTCCCAGGACGACGTGCTGAAGCTGCACCATCAGTACAAGGATCAGGAATAGGGAGGGTTAGGAGTTCACTGTAGTGTCTAATGTTTAAGATGTTCTGAAATGTGAGTAGGGTTGACACATAAACAAAAAGGACTCATCTGCCAATTGATTTCCACTTGTATCACTTCTGTGACCCATTTTGACTTGTTACTAGCTTACGGCTTTATATTGTACCATTTATATCAACAATGCCAGTGAGCTCTGCACAGAGTATGATTTGAGGGTCTGCACAGAGGGGGCCGATGACTCAAACATGCTTCTCATACAGTGTGAGAGTAGTGTGTGTGTGTGTGCTCCTTGCCTTGCATACATTTCATTTGGATTGTACCCTAGAAATCTACATTTTCTTTCTCAATAAAACCTGTGATAATCTTTTTTTTCCCCCAAGTTTGTTGATGTTATTTTGCACTAGTGCTGCTATTAGTTGAATGGTGCTGAGTAGTTGTATTGCTCAGAACTTGCACTTAATGTAGTCTAATCGCCTCATCCTCCTTTGCTGCCATTTTGCCACTGTTTGTGTTTACATTTCACTCATCTGTTCCCCCAGCTGTTAGAAATCAGAGGTGCTGTACATCCAAAGCCTGTTTTGTCTCCTATAGGTTCTGCGTTTATTAGCGGGAAGTAGCGTTGTCTAAATAGCGCTATTTAATTGCAGACCACCAGCCTCAGTAATTGTGCCTCCTGAGTTGTAACAGTGTGTTTTCTACTCCTCATTGATAATGTTCGCTTCCTCCGCTCACATTGCACAAATACATCTTTTAATTGGAAGGAGAAATTTATTCTTTAATTCCTCCTTGACACACTTAGCTTCTCAATGTGCAATGTTGTGTGCCACCCTGCCATTGTGTTTTACAATGTAACGATCTGTGCTGGCAGTGTGTGCCCCTCCAGCGCTTTTTATGGTTGGAAATAAACACTAATAAAGGGGATGGGGTAGACAGCTGATGCCAGTGTGCTTTTCAAACCATGGTTTAAAAACTAGTTTCACAGGTGACTAGTTACCACATGGAATAGAAATGGAATTTCGATAAATGGAAATGAGCAGGTCTCGTCTGTGGTGCCGCTCCTGGTAAATGAAGTGATGGGAATTGCACCATCAATAGAAGCAGATACTGATGGTGACTGTGCATGTGCCCTTTGAGAGATGATAAAAATAGAGCAAGTGTGAATGAAAGTATCATAGTTCGGAGGGAATGCTGGGGGAAAAAGCCCCTTACAGATTTGGGGTTGGGGGTTAAAGTAATGTTGTACCCACCAACATTGTCGTTTACATATAGCGTTGGAGGACTCAACTTGTTTAAAGTAGCCTGCTTTTAGAGGTTGCAATTTTAATCCATAATAGCTTGAGGACACTATTTGAGCAAGGGAATGATGCACGTTTGTGCACAAAATCATTCAAAAGTTTGGGCATGCTTTCTCACTTTTGGTTGGTGGTGTA